CCCCCCCCCCCCGAGCGTACGTTGCAATTTGTTGATAAATAACTTTATTCTCAAACCAATCAAGTAATTCGTATACAAACAATAAAAATGCGTATCATGCATTCGAACACAAACCTCCCAATTATGCCAATAAAGTAGTTAGTTACCTGGAGTGTAATGCGTGACGCATATTAGGTTAAAATATCGAATCCTGTAAGCTTACAGTCTCTTAGAGACATCGACTTACCGCTAGCTTAGAAGTGAAATGTGCACAGGTTATCCGCGTTGACAAAGTAATACCTGCTGCAACGCACAGGTGGCAGTATTGTCGATGGCGCGTCAATATGTCAAAATCGCGCGATACCGAACAAACGGGAATGTCTTGTTTATTTAGTTTCAGTCAATTTTAGCCCGGAAAAAACATTTACATGTAAAAAACTATGCCAAGTACAGGAGTGCTGTACTTTCGAGTTCCTGACTATTAGGTGATATCACCATATTACAGAAGAAATAAAAGTTCATATGTTGGTAGTGGCCCGATTGATGAATTATATTAATAAGTGTATACGTTAACACTTAACAGACAGGAACCACGATAGGGGACAGTTAGAAATGCTGGAAGTTGTAAAATTTTCCGGAGCGCAGACTTGATGCGCAGAACCCGCCGGGCGGGGGGGTCACTTTTGGAAGCGCTCAGGCTCACAGCGCTCATTCCCCCACGAGCCGGTCGCCTATACCGGTCTTTTGGACGAATCCCGTCTTATCCGTTTGTATTCTTTTTTTTTATATTTAATTCTGGTTTATTCCTATACTCGTATTCCTTACTTTCCTGCTATCATTTTTCTTTTCTTTTTGTAAACTTGTTATTTACTTTCCTTATTTCTTTCTGCCTTCTTCTTTCTGTTCTGTTCTCGTTCACTTTCGATTGTCCTTGTTTAATTTTTCCTACTTCTTTGGTTGGATTAAGCATATTTCTTCGAGTAGCCATAATAGACTAGTTCATTCTGTTAGGGAAACACACGTGGACTATGGTGACAGGGATTGTCCTTGCGCCTCATCTGCTGAGCTTGCTCAGGTCGGGCCCAGGTTGTGGTCGCAATATGGTCTCTCCAGACCTCCCGACGGGGGCCTTGAGCTCTTTTAAGGTACGCTACGACCATACTCTTGCGTGCAATCAATCTAACCAGGTGCCTATCTTTCGCGATTCCTGAGGTTTTTCCCCCGGTCTTGGACGCAGAAGTCTCAGGACTGTTTTTTTCCTTAATCCGCAAAACACGGTCCTCTAGTAGATCTCAGAGAGGTCGCAGCTCCTTCGTGGAGAGGTAGGACCTCACGGAAATGGACGCGGAGGGGCCAATTTCATAACATTCCTTCCTACCTTCTTTATTCTTTTTCCAACTTTGAACCGTCTTTCCTCTATTATCTACAACGTTTTCTTCTTCCCGCGGATCGTCCAACCAATCGTCAAAAGTCTAACTTTGAACGGCAACTGGAACTACAACTTTCACCTAAATTCTACTCGCACGACACATCAAAGCTTCCCATTTTTTCTCAAGGTACGTACTACTCATTCAGTATCTTTAATTCTATATGAGTTTGCCTAGTCTACATCGTTTCAATACTTTTTGTTAAAGGAAATAATTTTTTACACATGTCTTTTTGAACTGAAATAAAACCATCTCGCTCGCAATCTCAACACGCTCTTATCTCGTACACTAATCGTATCGATCTTGGTGGCAATCGATTCAGAACCCTCTATTCCTATAACGAATCTATCAATAACTTTTTCTCATATATAGCGGTTCATAAAATATTTGATTCCAAACACAGCTATATAAGAGTTGACTCGGGTAAAGAGTTCGGCGGTCCGTGTCCAGTACAGCCGGTTGCCTGTTCTAGGCGCAAGACTCGACCGAGTCTCGATGGTTAACTTCCCACCGAAGTCAAGTTTAAGAAATGATATTACGTACGTTGTATATCCATATATGAGTAAACTCTATGTAAACATTCAACAAATTTCAACTCTCATTCCACTCCGGTGAAAACAGCCAATAACAATCTCGATTAATGATCGATAATAGTCTGTTAAAAAAGAAAAACGGTAAAAATATTTCTCGTGCATGCTTAAAGATTGATGTAGAAATAATGAAAAAAGCAGCGAAACTTTTATTATCCAATAGAACATTTATAACACAAACATAACCCAGAATAACTCCGCGCAGTACCTCGTACAATTATTTTCAACAAAAATGACGTGGGAAAATTACTCGAGTCAGCCAAAACAATAAATTTTTTTTTATATATCCTATTAACAAGAGGACTCGATTATGTAGTGGCTTATTAGTCGTAAACTAAAGACCTGCATAAACCGAGGCCTCTGGCTCCCGTCTGCCGTAGAGTTACGCCACTGTCCTCGACTTACTTCCATACCGACAGCGCGCCTGCTGCCTGACACAAGACAGGGGTACCATTATAAAAGATTCTCAGAGGGTATAACAGATAAAAGTAATGAAAACTTTTCCCATAGCTTATAGGTACACCAGCGTTTATACATACGTAGATATACATAAGTTTTATAATACGATACACTCGAAACTATCTTGTCAAATATAATGCTTAGTTTAGCTTACTTATGTAGTAACATTGGACGTGTGTGTAATAATAACAACAACGTGTGTACTCATTTGAAGACGAATGTGCGTAGCTATAGGTATGTACACTCGGTGCGCTCGTTGCGACCTCAGGAGGGACAGGAAAGAGTCGTATATAAAATAAAATTGTGCCAGATACTCGCGAAGGCCATTCAAGCGTAACTTTTAATATGGCCGCTTGCAACATGGCGTTCACGCCATGGAAGAATTTTCTTCTTTTCTCTCTCTCTCTCTATTTCTTGTCAGTCGTATCAAGCTGTTTGCACAAAAATATCATCTAATATTTACAGCAAACACTATGAACGTATATCAGCCCGTGGTTGGAGCGCTTAAAAGGCGTTATAACGAGGATAATGTAATCCCAAATCGTCATTGCCTTACTCGCCAGGACAAAAACGCCATCACGATAGAAGAAAACAAAATTTCGGCTTTTCAAGTACACTGGATTCCTAATCGTACAACGATATAGTATATCGTTTAAATGTATAGGCACTTATATCACTACGAATCCCATCCCCTTGTAACATTGGCGATTCGGGGGGATTAATTAATTCGTTTAGTATAAAAATTCTAAAGTCGATATATCATATACATATCTTTGCGCCGCACCGTGTATATAGACTTACACATATATACATATACGTTGGGTCTCTGGCTATGCACGCAATTATAATATGTAATTTACAATATCGATTCACAATGTATAGCTTGCACTTATTACACGCTATTGTCTCGGGCAAACAGACGCCGGCGAGACGAATTATTTGCACGATTTTAATTGCACGTCGCGACGCTTCTGCTATCGAATACGTCATCATCTTGGGTACGGGAATGAATCGGAGCGCGAATTGAAATAATATCGATCATTTTAAATACGTGAAAAGGAATTTTCGAATTCACAAATAAATACACGAAGTGCCAGAGCTCACATGTGCGTTCTCTAAATACATATGTATTTAAGAAAATTAATTGTACCGATAACGTCACGCTTAGGTTAATGGCAGCTGTCGTGCTACTTAGATACACGCAAACCTGACGTGACTCTAACGAAACGATTGGATTTACCAAAAAGAGTGATCGTACAGTTGAATTATTGTGCGTTTCAAGTATTTTCAACATATATGATTACTGGCCAACGGTTACAGGTTGAAACTGCCCGATGAGTCTGACGATAATTGAGCGTTGCGTAACATTTCGCAGTAACATTTAGCATTGGCAAAGATGGATGCTAATAAATAGTTATATGTACATTCGACTGGCTGTTCCGCGACTCGGAGTCCGCAAAGCGACTTACGATTGCCAAGCTCTCGCGTTTGTCACATATGTACGCGGTACGTATAAATTCATTGAAATATAATTTAGACGAAGAAGGAAACAGAAAAAAAATGACAAGAATAGCCCATAGAACTGCCTCGGCGTTTCCAGCGCAGCGCTGGCGAGTCTCCGACGTTTAAAATTAATCGAGTCTCGTGCCAGACGGATCGCAACGACGCGTAAGGAAGCTGCGAGAGGCCGTTACGGTCGAGAAAGAAAAATAAATGATCCGACGTGTCCGGGAACGTCGCGAAATCGATAAGAGTTTCATGAAGGCTCCGTGAATCCTGTCCCTGTACATAATTTTGTCATTTTCCCATGCAAACACGATCTTCATATTTTCATTAGAAGACAAACGACGATCCCGAGAGTACACGAGATTGCGAGACACGTCGTGGGTCCCTGACTGGAGAAACGGAATACTGGATTATACGAGCGCACTAATTTCGCAGTTCCTAGAGCTTCTGAACGATGTCGAATTTATCCTTGAATCCGATGGACTCCTTCTTCGGGTCGTATTTCTTGCGCGCCGCAAGCTGTGCCCTCAGCTCCTTCGCGCTCATCTTCAGATTCAGGCCCTTCTGCTGTTCTCCGATGTTACCGTTGCCATTCCCGGTACCAAGATCATTGCCATTCCCATTCTGACGATTGATCTCGACGTTGTCACTCGTAGGGATGCTGGTGGCTGTACTGCCGCTGTTCGACGTGTCGTTCGATCCAATGGACTTCTGCGTGCCCTGAAATAGAAAGGCCAGATATAAATTTCGTTCCTCCGTTAACAAGTGAGAATCGCAAGGTCACGTACGAGAACGCCAATGACCATTCGACGTCGTAGTCATCGAATGACCCGGATAGAGTGACCGAGTGACATGATACCGAGAACAGAGATGCTCGTCGCGTACCAAGGTCGCACCTTAACCCTACTTTTTTTTTACCGTTTCAGCAGGAAAATCTGTCGAAAAATTCTTTTTACCTCCAATACTTCGTATCATCGTCCTCGCACGTTTAGATGATGACGCATACGTTCGCTTGGATTATTATCGAACGATATCTTCGAAGGAAAACAACAACGCTGGACTCTCCGTAACTACGGGACTTACGAACGTTGGGTTTTCCGGCAGGAAACCCGCAGGTGAATGGGTGAAGATTATTAATCACCAAGAAGCTGAAGTGACTCGTTTTTATCCGTGACTCTAGAGACGATTGCACAATTCCTTTCAAGGTAGACGACGATCCTTTGAAATACGTGAGACTAACGATATCTTTTTTTAACGCGGCGGCAGACGCTGTACTATATGTTTATAAAATTATAAGTATCTTATCGGTACATAAATGTATACATGGCTTTTACCATATTTCATGTCCAATTCCCTAGTTCGCATATAACACTCTAGATTGTTAGCACCTGTGATACGCGGCCCTGCTGTGAAATATGGGAGTAACGATAATAGCCTATTTCGATGTGAATGACAGATGCAACGTTATACATTCTATTTATAAAATCATAACTATTAAACTGAATTATAGCTGTATCTGACTTTTACGATATTTCATGCCTAATTTTCTAGTTCGCATTTAACAGTCCAAATGATTAGTACATACGAGATACAGCGATTTTAAATAATTGGCCTCCTACGTAAATGGTAATATCAATCGATTAGATAAACCATCGACCGGTCTGTTGATGCACTAATATTTTATCTATAAGATTAGATATCTGACTGAAGTTTGTTCTAAAATAAGTCACGTAATATTTTCGTATACCAACCACACTATGGAGGTCTGTTACCCTTTTACCGTAGGTTGATGAGTGTATTCGAAGTGTTTTCGTATTAAGAGTCAAAGAAAAAAAAATAGATCTCAAAATCTTTACTAATTTACCCATGCTCGTGTGCTCAATGGAAATACTGTGTATTGTACCGGGCTACTTGAATTATCGTTATGCAAATGTTTATTCTACACGTATGACGGTTCAGAGATTTTTAACTTTATTTCTATGGTCATTATCAGTGACAATTGTATTCTGTAAGAGTCACCTTTGCTTCGTTTCTTTTTACAATTTCTTGCGTATGTCTCGCGGGAATGTGGGCGCAAACGTATACATAAAAGTTTCTATCCTAGCGAGTCTCGAACGTTCCGTTAAAACCTTAAGCAGGTATGCAATGCGCGCCGAATACCGATCTAACGAGCGTGTCGCGTGTACGATCGGAATACAGCTCCATACAGTTGAATTCGGAGGAACTGAAGTTGCAATGTGATTAGCCATTAGGTGAACCGCAAGACAGGAGACATTTGAGACGAATGAAAAAGTGCAAAAAAATTGACAAGGTCGTGAGAGTTGAGAGAAAAAGAAGTGGGATAAGTTAAGTTTTTTTTTATGACTGAAATTATTGTATTACGACGAATGCTGGCAAGAATTCAGACGTCCTATCGGGAGAAAAATTTGTATGATAAAGATTCATGTCAAATGTAAATCAAGAAAGCAGGCAAAGCTTGAACCGAAGTCTAGGACTTTTTGACGGAAGGATGTATTTTAAAAAATGTTGCTTGAGATTCGAATAAAATCTTTTTAGTCTTTAAGGTGAGTCACGCTCCTTTTCTAACCAACCAGTTTGAAAGCCCTCCTCCCAGTCATCGAACCCTTTGCCCAGTTGAAGTTACTACCGGTAAGATGAGACGCACTGACGACGTTGCCTCATCTCAGTAATATTCGACTAAATATGAGGTGGGCTATGTTCTACGTGTTAAGAGCTTCTACGAAGCAGAAGGTTTCTCTATCAAAGTCACTTTCCCATGAAGCATACAACGCGTTGTATGAAAACATCATCCTAGTAAAAAAGAAAAAGGACAGCGGCAAAGAACGATTTAAGGTCAGATAAGGACATTCAATAGACCTTAATATCAGATAGGAAGTATAAGGGTAAAATCGGCTACCTCGTCAACGGAGCTGTTACTTCCAACAGAGCGTGCCTCCTGTTCAACGGATGCAGGATTCTTCTCGGGCGTCTTGATGACCTTGACGTTTGTCATGGTGCCCTTAATAAGGATGTTGTTGGCCTTGAAATAGTCGTCAGCCTCTTGATCGACAACCAGGAGCTTCGTTTCGTTGGGGAAGGCCTTGATACGATCGACCACCTGTTTATGAGTCTCGTTGGCGATGTTGATCTCGTTGACCTCGACAATCCTATCGCCCTGCTTGAGTCCAGCAGCCTGACTTGGCGAGCCTTCGTCAACCTTACCAATAAATTGCCCAGTCTTGCCTCTCTCGGCATGTAAATTGAATCCATAACCGTCGAAATCTTCCCATTTCACGATATGGCAGAGACGCGCGTACTGCACGTTATCGCCCTTAAGAGATGACATGTCGCCAGTTTTAAACTCCGGTCAAATCCAAGATTCACAGGTCACACTTTACCCTCGTTATTATCCCTCTCCGACCCGCACGGGACACAAACGAATTTTCTCACTCTCCCTCTCGCGGCAGCTATCCCGCGATTGTCCACAATATTTCCCACGCGGTTCGGCTCCGACACGCTCTCGCCAGACGTTTCTTCAAATTCGACTGGGACGTATTAAAACGGCAACGGGGTACCACGACTTGGAACTACCAGAGGTTCTACTGAGCACCAGTGCCTCGACGAGCTACACCTCGGCTCGATCGCTTCTACCGCGACTCGAATGCCACCGATCTACATACGCGGAGAACACTGCGGAATCCATGCGGGGCGCTGCCACCGACGAGACACACCAGACGAGGACAACCGGGCGACAGCGGAGAGGGGCTTGATATATGCTACAGCGCCTCTAAGCGGCAGGTGCAGGAACTTTGCACCAGGAGCACATGTAAAACTCATCTGCTACTTCGTTATCGAGAAACGCCCGCACGGTCTGGGTATCTATTGGATACCTACGTCAGTCAAAGAGCATTCATCGCTCAGTTGTAATTCGTGTTAGATTCTATCTGGGATTCACGCCGTGAGACGACTAGAGAAAGCCGTTTGACAAGGACCCATGGGAGGGAGCACGATTGGTCATACGAATGCCCGGTATCAGCGCCGCCAGTGGACACTCTTGACAACTAATATTTAGCTTTGAGAACCTGCATGAAGACAAATCGAGAGGGCTGGTAGTATTTACTTATAGAAAGATTCGCACTATTAAGAAGAATTTTTTGTACGTCAGCTCTGGACGGTTCGCTGTTTTAATGAATCATTCGCTGATGATTATATTGGGGATGCGTGATTCACCGACGACGGCGATCTTCGTTTTTCAATTATATCTTTTGTCAAGACTTATGGAACGATCATGATACATTGTCATAAGCATTGGCACCTTTTGAAAATGGCATTCAATCGTTTTAGAGAAATTAACGTGCGTTTAAAGAGTCATCGTCTTTTGAGTCATCGCCTCGGTACGAAACCCATTGCAGTTGATTTTGTGTTGGTTTAACAATCATGTCAGGGACGTATATCGCCGTGGCGAGAACGTTATCTTCATGGCGCATACCTTTTCTAATGCGTATACATTTATAAATCGCATGATCGGTTCTCTAGGTTACGTTTCAGAGACTTTGTTTCCGATCGACCCGGAAACCGAAAACAAAATCGAAACGAGACAATTTTCATGCATGTTAATTCAGCACATCCAGGAGCCTTAATGCGCAATACGGTGAACACTTTTAATACGTAACCGTGAAATATAATGGAATCGTTGAAATTATAGGAAACCAGCATCGTTACGCGAGCGGACGTTGTTCGATCTGTAGATTCTACAATGCCACCACGATAATGGAGTCTCTCACGATCCTTATCAACAATGGCCCTCGTGGTTCTTCCTGTTTCTAAGGAAAATTTTCTCTGATAAAACTCTTAGGGACAACGATAATACCTTTAAAACTATGGAAATGCACTTGCAGGTTTCAATTGTATTCGAGTATCGGCTTTTTACGTTCATGTTGCAGATGCAGTAAAACGAGGCAATTGACGGGTATAGTTCATAACATCAACTTTAATCTTATGTGCAATTGTATACCCATGGAATAGAATTTCAAGCTGTGATACCTTATCTTGCCGGTGGTGAATACGAACATGAGTAACATAACCATATTCAAATGCACTGCCAAATAAAAATGTAGTGATGCAAGAGAACGACGAACAGATGAGACAAAACATAGATATGTGAAACGCTAATTCATGCTTAGGCATATATATATGTATATATATATATATATATTTATACTCAATAATCGTATTTAATTATTTATTATAATTAAATATAGTTAATAACAAGCAAAAAATTATTGAATAATCAAATTTCTGTTGCAATCGTGGTTATACTTAGCGTACCATGAAGTAACGCTGTATTGATATAATAATACGGATACAAACAAAAAGTTGCGTCAAGCAGAAAATATTTCAGACTCTAAAAACAATGGCGTCGTTTAACACCCAATTAAAAATTACGATGCGAGTACGGAGATCGGTTTTACATGCATATATAATAACTTGCGCCTCAAATGTACGGCACTGAATCGCGTACCTGACGCCAGACGGTACACGTAATGTACAATTACGAAATGCCAAGAATAACGAACAATCATAATTATCACAACAAGTTGCCATCGTACCACGTGAAAATCAGCTTCTCTGCAATTTTCACGCGTTTGTTAAACAGAAGAGCTGGAAAATTATCAACGAGTTACCCAATGCATGCGCATAAGCGGCGATACGGGCATTGTTTGTGATGCGCGCGCACAGAATAGTTATCTTCTTCTGTGAGTGAATCGCGACAGTTCTCGGCCTTTACGAGGACACGAAAGTCTTACGTCACTCGCAGCTAAAAACTTATACACACGAAGCGCAGTAAGATGCATTCGTACTAGCCATAAAGTCGTCGCGCTTATATATACGTCTAGGATGCTATTCCCGTCATCCATTGGACAGGTTGTTTGTTTCCTTCTTCAGTGACTGACACGAAAATAACGTATTTTATCCTGCCGAATGACGTGAAGAATTTTTTAACGTAAACAGATGTCAGTTTCAAAAGTATATAACCAGAGACCTATATTAAAATTTGTCAATCAAGAATGTTACAGTCTCAAATTTACAATACGATGTATCATTCCTTCCATGTCTACTGTTGCAAAATACAGTTTTATTTAATCGTATCTGTACTTCCGTAGTGGTACCAAGGACAAGTCTGCACCAAGCAACAAGTAGCCATACATATAATTCGTCATGCATTAGGCTCCCGTTAAGTCTATGCTCGATAAGTGTTCGCTTCTCTTATGATCGCTCACTTATTTTTTGCACCTCGTGACATTCGAAACAATCCTTACTGTCGCCTACTGAGCATATGATTGTACTGGCGCGAAATGACTGCTTGTTTGAAAACAAGGACTGCGAATTCTGACAAAGATCTGTTCAAAAGTGAGAGCTCTCGTTAAGTGTTCGTTTTCTTCGTATCGCTTTCGTCTATCTTTCTAAAAACGTATACTTAACGAAAATCTACTGTCGAACGCCAGGCCCAGATTCAGGACCCAAGTAAAAGCACACCCAGCTGATGACTCAATGTATTTGTGCAGAGTGGGGATAATGTCGAGTAGGAACGTGTCATTTGGTGTAAATAACAATGTCCCTGTTGTTTAACATTTTATTCATCTGGACAAATGCGATATCCCGTACTCTTCAGAGTGATGAGGAAGTTTTAATTCTAATCGATCTTCATTTGGATTTGTTTTCGTTCAACGAGGTCTCAGGAATTTTATTATACCCAGGGCCCCGAAATTAATGGATACGTCTCTGTATTATCGTTAGTAGTGGTCGCACGTCCAACGAGTGAGAGCCAGTAGTGGTGTATTCATGAGGTGGAATAGCGGTGCGTCGTGAACGGACTCCTCTACTCTCCGGTGAGTGACTGCGTGGTATGACTAGTTCTGTCTGGTGCTTGGTGTCGTTAACTTCGCCCTGGTGTTGGCTCTCCGTCTTCCTCGTTTACGTAGTGCACGTCAAGTTTGTAATGCCAGGAAGGCTTTGCCAAGGAGTAGCTTAGTGGATACCTAATACTGATGAATCTTCAAGGAAACTAGCGGACATTGACCGATATGTGGAGCCCAACGCACGTCCAAGTGACAGGTAGGTAGAACGTTATCTACTCAGTACACCCAGCAGATTGCCAGGTAGGTTAGGTAGTCAGTTAGGTAGGTAGGTAGGTCAGGTCAGCAATATACCGTAACATGTATCATTTTATAGATTCTGTTTCCTTGAAGATTATTTAACGGATCTCTAGATATCTTGACAATATCTTGACACTGGAGTTACGCATTTAGAATCGGAACATCATCATGTGCCAAGTCGTGATTTTGTCCTACTGCCAGACTGTACAGTCATCGAAAAGATTGTTGATACTTTGTAGAAGTTCTTGGTATGTACAAAGACAGATAAGAAAGATTCCATGGGCTCGTCATGGAAAATCTAATAAAATCTGGAGCTGGTTTTACCTCAGGTTCATGTTCCGTGACGAGTTACGAGTGGCGCCTAACCTGTTGGACATTTTAATGATGCTTTAGAAATCGTTCTGTTCGACTGTACTTTGTATGAGTTTATGTACGCGAGTAGAAGACGTAAATATTTACGAGGGATGCCATATCCTAGCTAAAGCATGAACATCAGTAGGGACTGTAAAACGCCTTATAACCGTGTGGAATTCTTCGTGCTTCTTGCGACCTTCCTGCTACCATTGAAAGCTTTTCGTGCGATACGAGGAAAATATATTTGTATTCCAAGAATGCTTTAGATGTACAATAGAAGCTGCACCGATCTTTATCTTCCTTGGGAAAAGATGCTCGAGGCTACAACGGAATTTTAACTCGCGTTTCCCATCCACGAAACTAATTAGTCTCGAACCAATTATTCCCACGATTCTCAGTCGTTTACAATGCTTTTTCAAGCTCGCTAAACGTGAAACACGCATCCATTACGGATAGTTCTCCACTTTCGTTTTTATAATGAAGCAGAAATATAATGGGAATTTATTAAATACATTAGATTTGACTAATGAAAAAAACCGCAAACATCCTTAGTCCCGTCATGAATAACTGTTATTGTGTGTCTAATTCTTTGTTTTATTTACAGTCCAAAGAGCCAAGGGACTGCTTACAAAAGGAAAAAATAGTGAGTATACAGTATCTTCATCTACGTAGCTAATTGAACAAGAAAGCATAGCAATTCGTTATAGTCACGATGTGATAATAGACAGAAAAAAAAGAAGAATACGTCATATTACAAGCTTTGCTATAATTCTCAACACGCAGCATTTCCTTGACATCGTCACGTCACTTATGAAGCCATGCAAATTCACACACATGTCTGTATATCCCGTGTTACGTATAAATGTCCGTTACGATAACGTTTCTTGGGTCGAACGAACCAAGCAAACTGCCATCACGACGGATCCGGTTTCAAAACAGTGTCGACCCACTAAAGAAAGTCGTTCGCACGAACAGTCTCATTTTTCACAAGAGATTTTTCACCCGTTTAAATATTGTCGTATTGAATTACTTGACAAGTGGCGACCTGATGATTGACCCTCATCACAACGATTTACAACGCCCATGCTCTTTCAGAGACCAACGATTGCTTCGTTACCATCGCCTTGGGCAAGGAAAAATATCAGACATCAGTGAAAGAAAAAGCAGTTGAGAATGTGGAGTGGCACGAGGAGTGCGAACTTCAAATACCTCAACAAGGAAATACAGCGGAAATTGTTCTCACTGCGCTTCATCGAAATTTCATTGGAGTTGATGAGTTCCTTGGCATGATAGCGATACCACTGTCGAGTTTTGATGTGTATGAGAGACCGAAGAACAGATGGTACGTAAAAGCAACAGGTGCCGTTGTTGAAGTATATCTATAGAGATACGGTATTCATTTTTTTTTTTTTTGTTAGGTATACGCTTGGTAGTAAACCTGGGAAAGGAAATACAAAGGAACGTGGAGAATTGGAAGTTAAAATTGGTTTTATAGTCAAAGCTGGAAGTTTAACGGATTTGACTAGAAAGGAAAAGCACAAAAGCTCTCTAGGTCAATTGTCAACTGCGGCTCAGTCCATTGGTGGAAGTCTGCTTAGTATCGGTAGCTTAGAAAAGCGTAAAGGATTGAAAAAGTTTGCTAAATCCATTGGAAATAAAGTCAAAGGAAAGAGTAAAAGTAGACTGGATAAAGATGGCCTTGACGAAAAAGAAGAGCATCACATCCAACCATCACGGCAGGAACCTGGAGAGGCTGATCCAGGTGTCATCAGTGAAGACGAAGATGAATTTACAGTAAGTAACTTCTGTGAGAGAGTAATAGAAATAATTCTTTGAAAGTTTTTAAGATCTAATCATTCTTTTTAACTTGCTAGTTTGATGACTTGTCACACAAAAGTTCAGCGTCTTCCTTGAATGCACCAACTGCTAATAATGCCAATAGCCAACCTGTTGCCAATACGATTTCATCATCTGTATCAAGTCATACTTTAGACAGTCAAACACCTCCTCCGGTTCCCACAAATTCAGCTCCAAATAAACCACCTCGATTTGCCATGCCGTCTGCGAATACTCTTCCAAGGACTATGGAACATCAGGAAGATGAATGGGGCCAAAAGTTATATGGAAAACAAGGGAGCAATACTCTAAAACGATGGGAAGATAAACCAAGACCAAGAATTGTGCTTGACGAAGTTAAAGGTGAATACGACACTACACCATCTCCACCTACGCCATCTTCTATTATAAGATCCAGGGATACTCCGGAGCCTCCAAGTCCTGCACCTAGAGAAATAATATTTCCAAAGAACAACAAAGATGACAGAATAAAAGATAAGAAGGAGGAAAAAATAATGAGAAGTCCAAAGGAGGAAAAACTCTCAAAGAAAGATAAGAAAAAAGAAAAAGAACAAAAGTTGAAAGAAAGTCGAGATGAAGGACATTCATCTTCGGAGAGGATCATAATAGGAGAGGACTCTGCTAAATCTGGATCCAATTCGAGAAGTCGACTTCCCCATGAAATTTTAGCTCAGTTCGAAGGAAAATCCAGAGAAGTAAGCATTTAATTATGTTTAAATATTATTCCTTAATATGACAAAATTTATATTAACTATAAATATCTTATTTTTTTCATAGGATCTGATTGAACTGGCTTTACATCTTCAATCTGAAGTGACAGACAAAAAAAAGCGTCTCGCAGATTTAGAAGAATATATAGACGCCTTGTTATTGCGTGTAATTGAAAGTTCACCACGATTACTGCAAAATCCATATCAGTCACAAAGACGTTTATCTTCTCCGGGACATCAATAGATGATATTTTTTTAACTGACACTTGACAAATTTCATTTCAGCATAATCGGACGTACCAATGTGAATAAAACTCGCGATTTTTTTATTAGTGATTCTTCCACGAGAAAACTCGATATTACTGAATAACATTAGTTACAATCCTGTATTCTGATTCGTTTAATCCGCTTTCTCATGCCAATCAAACCGAGTCCGCTTAATACCTCGCGGTTTCTATGCAAATATTAATACAAGGTGATTACATATTTTGAAATGAAATGGTGGCTTAGATTTTGTATAGCATTTACATTATAAGATCATTGGGGGATAAGATAATCGATTTCTCTTATAGAGATTAATTGCTACCAAAAGAAAAATGAAAAAGATTACAACAGCCTGTCTTCCTGCAATAACTCATATCAATCAAGCCAGACAATTTCTTGTCTTTGGAAAAACTTTTGTATTTCCGTCCATTCTCCTGTTCCAAAGATCTAAATTATGATCAATGAGAGCGAGTACGTGCCTTGAATATGTAGGTACACATTAGTAGAGTTATTCAGGATTATTGCATCACCTAAAGATGGTTCTATCCATTTGATTTTTATTATTACTCGTACTAAAAAACCATCTTGAAATAGTACACAGATCCTGAATAACAGTTTGTATAATGACAGACATACCACATAAACTAAGTCTACACAGAAAAGTATATGCATGTTTTGACTTTTTATCATTCGCCGCGAAATATTAATATACAATGTACTCATAACGGTAGAAAGTATTATTGTGACTCATAAGTGATTCATTAAAACTTATTTATTCTATTTTGTGACAACGTTTTTGTATTTACTCTTGCCTAATATCAATGAGAAATTAAACTAACTATAAGACTGAATAAAACATAAGTATAAGAATGAATAGGTGTTGCGGATTGAGTGATTAAGTTGATTGATTGATGATTAATGATTCTTAAGTTGGCCGCTTAAAGGAGGCACTGATTAGAAAATACATGAAGCGCCATCGCGTAAATCGTGACGAAAACAGACTCTTCCTATTGAAGTTGAATAAGTATTGAATACTCTTTGTGATTATAAATCCATAAAAGAAGTAAAAATTCAGAAGTAATTTATCTCGAAGGAATTGGATATGTGTGATTAAGACTCTGTGTAAGCTTGATATAAAATATTCTTCATAAATTACTATATATTTTCAGTTTTATTTTATTACTTAGTTGAACCGTTCAGTGTAGATAGGTATAGAGGTGCGGAGGACGTGGTGGGGGTATGTCAAGCATATACTATAGTAAAATTTAGTTCAAATCCCGGCGGGTAGATGGCGCCCCGAAAATCCCAAGCTATGTAGCGGACGAGTACACAAGTCGTTTATATTTTATTTAATCATGAGGAATATATTGCACTCAGGTAAGTTTCACACACGTAAGCTTTATTTCTTTCGTTTCAGGTACAGAGTATACTATTTGCTGTGGACGCCATGGAACGCTCTGGAAGACTACTCTACGCTTGCCGTAGCGCTGCGGTCGGCTTCCTGCCAGCGACGGCCGGTAAGTGTGGCAGTGCTTGCCCTAGTTCGGTCGGTAAGTACCGTCTGCTGTTTGCTCTCTACATAGCTTGGGATTTCGGGGCGCCATCTACCCGCCGGGATTTGAACTAAATTTTACTATAGTATATGCTTGACATACCCCCACCACGTCCTCCGCACCTCTATACCTATCTACACTCAACGGTTGAACTATATTTAGAAGAAAAAAATATTCGAAAAAAATGTTGATTACCCATTGTGATTCAAAAGGCGGGCGCCTCGTTGGCTGTGGTGCGGTTGCTAGAAAAGTTGCATCTGAAGTTTTCTTTTCAGGCTGCTCCCGCATCCTTTCTGATGTTGCTGTTTGTTGTAGGTCGTTCCTTGGCGTGTCCTCGTTTGCCGGTATGTTTTCCAGGAATGCTGGTTTCAGTCTTTCTGTTGATACCGTTTCTTTCTTTCCATTGACTAGTATGACGAAGACGGAATCGGAAATTCTATCCACCACTGCAAAAGGCCGTTCATATGGTTGTTCCAGCGCCTTCTTACAGGGATCCATGCGTAGGAATACGTGGCTGCAGGAATGAAATGCTTTGTGGGTGAATGCCTTTTTCTTAGAATGGTGTGCCGTGGGTCCTGGGCGAACTATATTTAGAAGAAAAAAATATTCGAAAAAAATGTTGATTACCCATTGTGATTCAAAAGGCAAGAATTAAACAACGTATTAGTTTGTACTTATATTTTTTAAAAATAAATTTACATAAAAACGCGTCTTATGACTGCATTTTAGGCAGCATTGTGAACACGCCTTTATGTTGTATGTAAAGAAGCTTGAGGTGCACGTAAATACGCGGAGTGTGGTGATCAAACTTTAGTGAGCTTATACGTGATAATAGCAGAAACCGAATAAAATTTTTGTATATTCTTTCTTGTGACATTTTAAAATTTTTTCTGGATAAAGAGTAATAAAACATTTGAAAAAGTGCTTGTTCTCCTAGAACGATGGTCGATTACAGCAAGTGGAAGGACATAGAAGTAAGAAAGTAAAGATTTTTGGTCCAGAATGTTTATAGAATGTTCTAGAAACATCATAGAAACTTAAAAAAATTTTCTTTTTTATATTTTAAAATCATTCTAGAAATATATTTATAATATAGTTCTAGATTAGTATACAGTTTATAGTTCTGTCAATGTTTTTTGTGACTAATTTAATGTACATTATTCATGTAGTTCATATTGCTTCTTTGTATCGGAGCAATGTTCTGATTGAATATAGTTCTATAAAATTGTATTCATCAATTGTATTGTAAAGGATGCTGCTGGCGTGTAACTATTTTTTGAATAAACAGTTTATTCTAAATCATTAATATATAATCAATTTCAAATTTGAGTATAGAGTTCAGTTTTAGGATGGGTAATGAAATCTAATTCATACTTTAATCACTTTAAATAATTAGATCTCAGATGATGAAGATGATACTCATCCAAACATTGATACCCCATCATTGTTTCGCTGGCGACATCAAGCACGCGTTGAAAGAATGGAGGAAAGAAAAAAGGAGCAAGAAGAACACGAAAGAAAAAAATTGGAGTAAGTTCAAAGAACTATGTGGTATATTTGAAACAAAATGTTTTGCTAAATATATTTGAAAGATACTCCTTTTAGTTTTCTAAAAAGCAAAAAAGATTTATACTCCTAAGGCATAGATATTTATCATTACAAGTAATTGTTCCATGTTCTAATAAGATTTTTTCATTATTATATGGAATTACTTTTCATCATTTTAGAACACAAAGGAAGCTGAAGGATACAAAGGAAAAATTAGCAAAACTTGAAACTGAACAAAAAGATTCTGCTGATTTATCTGCTATAAAGAAAGCTTTACAAGATCTTGAAAAGGAACAAGAGAAGATACAAAAAATAGAGGATGAAATTAAAAAGAAAGAAAAATTGACCCCATGGAATGTGGATACAATTGGTCAAGATGGTTTCACAAAAACTGTAATAAATACAAAACCAGTGCGCAAAGATGATGAATCTAGTTTATCGGATGAAGAGAAGGAGAAAAGAATGAAACAATTTGTAAAAGAAAATGAGAAAAAATTGAAGGAATTTGGTATGCTCCAAAAATATGACGCCAGTAAAAAGTTTCTCCAGGATAATCCTCAATTAGTATGTGAAAATACAGCTAATTACTTAGTTATCTGGTGTATCAATTTAGAAATGGAAGAGGTGAGAGAATAATCATCTGGGTATTTTTGTCAAATTTGAACAACATTAATACTGAATTATGTATTTGCAAATTATATTTCAGAAACACGATTTAATGGAACACGTTGCACATCAATGTATATGCATGCAATATATCTTGGAGTTATCAAAACAATTAGATGTTGATCCTCGAGCATGTGTTGGCTCTTTCTTTAGTCGCATTCAAATTGCAGAAGTGGAATATAAGAAGTCCTTTGATGATGAATTGAGGGCATTTAAAGAAAGAATTGGCAAGAGAGCTGCTGAAAAGATAGCTGAAGCTCTTAAGGAAGCTGAAGAAGAGGAAAGAAAGGCTCGCCTAGGACCAGGAGGTCTTGACCCAGCCGAAGTATTTGAAACACTTCCTGAGGTAATATATCATTCAATATAATTCTACAATTAAATTGTAAAAATATATAAAAGACAAATATGTCTAGTGCAACCAGTAGGAGGAGTTTTCAAAACTGTACATTGCTTTTTTAATCCATATTAAAAATGTATACATCACATATTTCTGTTACAGCCTTTACAAAAATGCTTTGAGGCCCAAGACATTCCTTTGCTACAAAAAACCATAGCTGCAATGCCAGAGAGCGAAGCGAGGTATCATATGAAACGGTGCATTGATAGTGGCCTTTGGGTACCTGATGCCAAGGCTAAGGAACAAGAAGATGAAGAAGCCAACGAGAAAGATGAAACATCAGATCCTGAATAATTTCTATTTCATTCTTCTCTGTTTCATTTTACTTAAGTACATTCATGCAACCATATAAATATTCTATAGATTACTACTCGTTACAGAACTGTCGAAAATAAAGCTATTGGTACTAAAAAAAATATGAAACAATTTTTACCTGCCAGCTGTATGAATTAGAAAGAATTGGACACTTTGCTTGATCAAAAGTGAATCAATTTGATAATTGAATGCTATAGTATATTATCAAATATTCATCACTAGAAACATATTCACAACTTGCAAAGTTTAGAAACTTCAGATTCTGGATCGATAGTGTCATATCTAGTTTAATTTTTTCCATCTTATTGATACCATATAAAATAATAGCAGCTATAAGCCAAACAAATATTTTTAGTCAATGTGTTCAGTGATAATAATATTAATGTATATATAATTTATAAAATAAGTCCATATTGTTTGTCAATATTTCACTATCAATTTGCTACACTCGTTCATTCAATACAGTATATCATTATATGTTTACTCTATATGTATAAATTATGTTAAGACACTATTAAGATATGTAATATCATACAAAACATTAAATATATCATATTATTTCTTCAACGACTTTTACCGAGTTACATCATTGCATCTACCTGTAGAAAATTTTGTTATCTCTATTGGAATAAATATTACAGTACCTTCATTTGTTACCACTATTTGTCATCTAATCTTCATAGAATACTATAATGTTTTCCAAGAAATTAATATTTGAATACAACAGCATTAGTAAACAAATAAAAATAAACACAATAAAATATAACCCCATCCGAGTGTTAACCGTAAACTAATTTATAACACCAAACTATTACAATTAAGGTAAGATAACAAAATTTGCGACAAAGAAATTCATTTCACACACTAACGTTTCAATTAAATTCAAACGCGCTGACTATGAAATCTCGATTTCTCAAGTATCAAAAACGTTCATGCGCAACCGGAAATCGCGAGTGGTCGACTATCGAATTCTCGAGGTTCTCCTCCTTTTCCGGGGAGACGTGCCACGAATCTTTAGGTAATATTTTTCGTCTTTCATTCTGATCATTATACATAAGATCATTCGCTTACAAAAAGTCGTGGTGCTTCTCATTCAAGCGGGTAAATCATTTTGCCTCATTGTACGTAAATTTATTACGCTCGCGGCACTCGTTTTGCTGAAAACTACTGTGAAAATACAGTTTAGAATCCTTGCCTTGTCTAACAGAAAACTGTGTCCTTTTTTAGTTACTGATATCGCCTTCGAGAGGCGCTTTTATACTGTGCATGACGTCATTAACACTTTACATAACCATACATCAATTGACGCATTTCATTAATTATAAATAGAAATACGATAAGTATTTAGAACGTGTGACATAGAAATGGACAATATCCTGGGCTCTGCTTTAACTTTTTGTTGGTAATAATTTAAGTGCTCATTGTTACGCATGAATCAATTTCTTATTATCGAATTACTGAACAATGGTTTTTCATTCAAATGTTTGGCATTGAACTATATAAACAGTCAAGTGAATCTGGAGAAATTGAAATGTACGATACTAATAGTGAAGTTCGCAGCATTTATAAAATCTTAATTTTTTTTCGGAGTTGATCAAAAACGGAAATTCCTAAAACAGCTTTATTATATGAATAATTCATATGTAGTCTACAATTTATCGCGGTCATTCAATATTCAACTGTACCAAAAGAAAAAAAAAATGAAAAATCAATCTTTCTCGGAATGTACGTCATGAAATATATTCGCGTAACCATGGTTTTCGCTAATTGCGCATGTAACGGTATATCGAAATGTTCGCTCAACGCATTCTGGGTAGAATTTCCTGGATTAATCAAAATGGCAGTCTTCTTTTCTCGGTGACGTTTTAAAGTAGAATAATCGCAAATAATTTGATAATAGTCGCGATATAACATTACAACAGAATATAAAAGTGAACATTTGTAGACAGGGTAGCTCATACGTAATGTGACGATTATTTTCGGGTGAAAGTTTTGTGTAGTGCGCGATTTGACTTATAGTAATTTAGCAGCGTGAGATACAGAGGAGGGTATGTAACATGCGCGTTGGTTAACTCGAGAGTTCGCTATAGACGTAATGGCCAATAGTAGCCAATAGTAGCAGCGGTAGAGGATATTACTGGCTATGTGGTGAAGACGTAAAGGTGGCGCACGCGTTGCATGACGGGACCTTGCCGATGCTAGCGACGAAGGCGATGGCGGCGGCGTTTGTGAGGAAGGTGGGGATAGGTGAGGGATGCGGCGGGGCTGTGAGGGGTTGGGTCGGGGAGGGCGAACGAACGAGACGAGTTCACAAAATGGCGGCCAAGCTCGGGCCCATGACCATATAGTACGTGAAAATTCGATAATTTTGCACAATGTCGCGACTCTGTATATCAATGGTTGTTTAATATTACGAACACGTGCGCGGCTAGTTCTTTTATTATTGAAACTGCATGCTCTAGTGCGGGGTTTGTGCGAAATTCGGAGATCGGAACGACGCGTAGACAGGAATGATGCAGGTGAGTGGAAGGGTTCGAAAATTATTGAATTTTATGAACTTCCCTCGTATTCTTTTTAAACAATAATTGTTTATTTACGTTGCCGAGATGAGGTTAGAGATTTATTTACGATGACGATTTGCGATTGTAGCCGTGGTGTTGTTTGGAACAGGGAATATTTGCGTTGCCACATGCGTTTCTGTGATCCACGACGAAAGAAAACCTCATAATTAGTGAAATAATTATTTTGAATGCGTTTAAAGAGTTTCCGTGTTTAGGGTGGGGCCTCCTGGTCCTGTAGAGCCCAGGAACTTGTCCGTTAAAGTCCTCGATTTTCTACAACTTTGCAGAGATTTCAGCCTCATAATAACCTATAACTTTGTTTACATTCATTCATATTGATGTTTTTCACTGAAAATGTCCTTGTTCCATCCCAATTTTCCCATAAAATGATTCCTCATGATCTCTTCTATCCTTGGGTCATGGTTATTCAAAAATTTGAGATGGACCCATTTTTGCAATTTGAGCTTAAAGTTTAGGGGTGCATACTCTCTTTATAACCTATAAGGTTCCACTACATGACTCTACATAACAAACAAAGTGCTTTTTCAATCTTGTAATTGGGATATGCTTGGAAATCTTGAAATATTTTCATAGAAGATGCATACTTCCTTTTCTGTGGTATATTTCCATAATTTTTTAAATAAAATTACCTTTCCTGTCTACCTAATATTTATAGAATCTTCAGCATTTCATATTCACCTTTGGATGAATTATAAAAGTGATGGAATTGTGTGGTTTGTCATATAATAGTTCATGGGGCTGCAATGAAACTTTTCTATAAATCTGTAAAATTTATGGTGGTACAATGATGCTATTCATCTCAGAATCCTTGTTAACATTAAAACCTCTTCTACGTTCAGAATCATACAAGTCATTTAACCTGTATTGTATTTACATTTGTGTAAGCAAAAGTGCTTTAACAAAATGTAAAGCTATGGGGGTTAAAGGAATTCATGAAATCTTGTATATGTTACGTTCTGCTGCAAGGTCATAAAAAGAAGTGTGATTATATTTTGAGTTATCTTGCATTTCATTACATTATACATATTTCATTAGCATTCTAGAGAGTACAACAAACCATCTTATATTTGATAAATATTATTTCTTCTTTAAAGGTATGACATTTATATCTGTCATATAGTTTTCATAGCGAATTTTAATGTGGTATTACATGCTACTGATACAGTCATCTTGTATCATTCAGTGAAGGATTAAACTAATATTATCATTCATTATCCTTTTTCATAGGTCATAGCAAAACATTGTTAATCCTTGGTTCATTTGATTGTAACTGTTGAAGTCATCTGCATTTGAGCTTAATACATTATACAAATTTTACTGTCTCGAATCACATACATCAAAAGAAAATATTGCAAATGTTGAACGATGGAAATCCATTCAAGAAACACAAAACTATATATTCTTTAACTACCAAATATTCATGATTCTTTTATTATTTCATACAGTTACATTTCATGCGCCTATTATTCCTTTAACTATTTAGAACTAAGCACATTATTTTTTATTTGTCCACAAAAGATAATTTGAGGATGCTTAATGAAAGGAGCTTGAAGAGTTTTAAGGAGCATCATTTTTATACAGCTTCTAATATACCACACTGTGAAGGAAATAAGACAAAAGCACATTGGTTCATGTCTTTTTGAATATTCAGTTAAGACATAAAGCAAATTTCAAACTTTTCGTAACAGTACAATACAGCTTATATGGGTGCATTGTACTTTTAAGTCTAATGTTGTAATTTTTGTAATATATCAGACGTGGAACGACTGTCAGTGTACCTGTTGAACTTTATAATAAATATATACATAATATTTTTACAGCAAAGTTATATCTCTTATTCCCTATAATACCTATCATATTTTTAAATAAATAAGTCCATTATTAATGCTGCAGAAACATACTATACATTTTGTTTCTGCCTCTGGCTATGAGCTCTGTAAATATGCGTTAAATTCTTCAGAAGAAGGAAATTTTCGGCGATGAGAAACTGTTGAGAAATCGCATACACCTCGTTGCGATGTAAACGTATTTGGATATTCAATCTTCCACCAGTATAACAAATTTCGCTTAAATCTACATGCTTCATCATCGGCTGCATCGCACAAGATGGTGGACCTGGTTCACGAAATGGAGGAATAAGAATAACCGTCCGCAGAGTAGATGGCAATGTTGCCCTGAATTCGAAAAGTCAGGACAGAATCGTACCGTGGAAGACTTTAGAAAGGATAAGCATTTTTTTTAAATGTCAGCATATTGGCATAATTATACTATAATTCATTTATCAGAAATCACTGGTAGCACAGATTTCTTCGCAACATGGCGTCATCTTGTTTCGTGGCTGAATATTGTTAAGAAATTTTCAATTCATGATTAAGGACGTATATGACGTATTAGGCAAATACTCGTATAGTATAAGCTAATAACATTGTATTTTAAGATCATACGAAAAACACTTTTGTTCTCTTTTGCATGAGACGTGGCCTGACAAGGGCATCTTCAAAATAAGTATCGCGACTGATACTCAGTCAATGATAATCATGTATTCCAAACAACACTGGCTACACTCGTTTAGGATGATACCTTATCCCACCTGTTTAAATTATCTTACAGAAGACATTAGACTCGGAGTCTGCTAAAGAATCTGGATCCGATTCTGACAATGAGAGTAAGAGCGATAGCTCTTCCTCTGGGAGTAATTCTGGCTCCGGTTCTGGATCGGACAGGTGCGTATCGACACATTGTTCGGGCTTCCCTCGATACCAGAATGCCTTTACGACCCTTCAAAGTATTTAAAATAATAACGCTTAGCTTTCAGAGTTTAATGTAGATTGCCATTAGATAAATGCACTGTGGGCTGCTAGAATGTCATCATGGTGATCTAAGCATTGTCTACAACCAGATTCACTGTATCTCGATATTACGACGTAGTTTTTGTAATTTGATACACATTTCATCATATTAATTTTCATGTTGCTAGTATTAGATAAACAAAAAAAAATCATTGACCCGCAACTACATTGTTATTAAGACTATTTCATTTATCGTATCGATATTTTTAATCCTCATTCAAACATGCGCGGTTGTTTAAAAGTAGTAGAATTGACTAATGTGATATATATAGATGACGTAGTAGAGATTATTGCATAATATCCAACGAAATATTTATCAGCATATCTGATTATCATAATATCATCCATAGAATTTCTTTATACAGTTCTGCATGGGTTTATCTTTATTGGCCGTATATTATGGCCTTCTGGTATTTAAGGGTATGCTCTCGAGTATTTAGTATTGTGACATCAAATCACCTCGGCTATTTGTGTACTGCCACAGCTTAATAAAAGCACTAATATTGCCTCACTCAATTTTTCTTTTCTTTCGCTAACTGTGTTTCTTTCGTATCCCTGTGAGGACATTTTCTAGTCAGTCTTATTCTTTGTTTTAATACGTTTTACCAAGTGCTCAATTTTGCGAAAATACTTAAAACGGTCTTTCACGATGAGCGGCAATATCTAGTTTACAAAGTACATAAGTTAGAACGACCAGTGAAAGAAAAAAAAGTAATCGCCTTATAAGTACACTGAAATATATATAGAGGGCAGAACAATTGACAATGATTAATGTTTTCGTGTATTTTTGGGGAATACAACAATTTTGTATTAATCAGCAATAAGAATGTAAAAAATAATTAGGCTCATGGCATAATTCTTTCCAAGAATTCCGGATACACCAATTGCTTGTCTTATATACATACATATGTCAAATATCAATTGAGTTGTTCGTTACATGTTCTGGACATGTTCAGCCATGGATACAGTGAATAGTTTGATAAATTGAATGTATATTTGATACAAACAAAACATTTAATATATTTCAAGGTACTTTATATATCAATAATGAAAGAAAAATCGTACAATGAAAAATTACCTCGCTGCTATGCAGCGACTCTAGCTCCTCGAGTGGTTCCGGCTCGGCGTCGGGTTCTGATTCGGAAAAGTCAGAGAAGTCAGATGCACCTGCACAAAGTGATAGCTTTCAGAGCAAAAGCTCGCATCACAGCACAGAAGCTAAACTTAGGCATAAAAGCGACTCTAGTCGTGAATGGGACGAAAATCCTGACATATATGGCATCAGGAGGTCCGTACGTTCTCGGAAGGAGCCAGAAAGGCTCACGACGCAACGTGAGAGCGATAGCGAAGGTCGCAAGAAACTTAAGAAAAAGAGGTAAGTGATTGAAAAAAATAAATTCTGATCATCTCAATAAATATATTGATTACGTTATTTCAATTCTGTGGATCTGCCAGAAGATGAAGAATATATATGTTCATATGTGATTAGTGACGATGATCTTGTCGCTTATCGATTTTTATTTACGGAAAAGGAACAAAATTCAATAATTTCATATTATACCAAATATTGATTTATCATCGTAGGCTACTACCGTATTGATTGAAGTCGTAATTTAGACCTATATTGATATTTGTGGAGTAATCAACAATTTTTGTGGCCTCCCATTATATGACTGAACATTGCTTCTTTTTTTTATACGTATGTTTTTGTAATCGATTTATTGGACGTTGATATTGATGATGCAACATACACGGCTATTGGGAAAGAATTTACATTGCTTTAATAATTGTCAGAGCATACTTAATTAATGCTGAGTTTTCTGAGTATAATTTAAAATTTTATTCATCGAACTAGGCAAATTAGTATACTTGGCATGATGCTAGCTTTTGCCCTCAAGCATGATATGCAATTAACATATCAATATATACTTATTTACATTATTGATTATCCTATGCTAATCACATATTAGAGTGTAATGTATTGACATGCCAAAAACTCTATCGGAGATTATCATTATGTAAAAATGAAATTTTTCTACGATCATAATTAGTCCTTAGGTTGCTGTATTGTCAAAGAAAAATATTTATAAGTTTTTTTTGCGTTCTATTATGACGTATATTTTACTTGACTATTTGTTTTATGAAAGTGTAGAAGTTTTGCTGTATATCATTTTATTGATTACTCCGCATCATCGAGAGACGCGATCGAATTTCATGGTTTACATTAACGTAATGTGTTTCATATCACTCTTATCTTAGCGACGTTCCTATCGACCGGAACAAAAAAGATAACTACATTGCAGTGCGATGCAATAATTTTGCTTATTATTATACATTGTTTTGCATCAATTAAATATGGAATTATCCGTCGCAATCTATGGTCACGTTGGTTATTTATTGCTCTGTTTTTACAGCGTAGTTTATACTTTATTTGTGTCATTGTTTTATGTACGATAGATCTTTTTTAATTAAGAGATGATTTTTAATCAGTCATTTCATTTATGTCAGATTTTCGTTGTTAGCACCAAGTACAGTGTAACAGAAACTCTAGGGCAATAATCATAAAAATATTCTTTTTTATTTTTGTAGCTCGCATAATACATGGAATTCAGATAGCTCAGATTCGGAATCGGATGATGCTGAGAAGAAACGGCCACCTCCTAGTAAACCGATAAATCGGCGTGCAGCACAGAAGGCAAAGGAAAATGCACGATCTCGTAATAAACGCATCTCAGAGTCATCAGAAAATTCATCTTTCGACAGTGATGACAACAGAAGGTAGCAATCTGGCTGTGGTGATTTATTTTAGTTTATTGTATTCATAATGAGATCTCTAAGAGGAATATCAATTTATATTTTTAGACAAGTATCAAGAAGGACAGGGACAGCTGTCAGTTATAAAGAACATAGCGAAGAGGGAACTGACAGCGAAGACATTGTTGAAGTTGATGAAGCTACAGCTACACCGGCAGAACCTGATAATGCTGAAACCATCGAAAGGATTTTGGCTCAGAGGAGAGGCAAGAAAGGAGGTTGGTTTAATTATTCATATTAGTATTACTGGATTTTGAAGATCAAGGAAAATGCTTATGAAAATTCAAAATTTTATAACCATGCCACTGGAATATTAACATGTAGCATCTCGTGAATGAGAGTAATTGAAATTTGCTAAAATTATTGGTCACGCCCATTGGCATTAACAGTTACCGGAAACGTGACGACTGTTTATGCTGTTGAAGAGAATGGAGATCCAAATCCAAAAAATTTGGATGACGACGAAGCGGAAATGCAGTACCTGATCAAATGGAAAGGATGGTCACACATACACAATACGTGGGAATCGGAGGAATCCTTGAAGGCTCAGAAGGTACTTTTGTCATTTTTAATATAATTAATTCTCGTCCTAGTCTAGCTTTATTTAAGCCTAATTATGTAATTCTTCATTTATTATTTCATAATTTATTCAGGTTAAGGGGATAAAAAAGCTGGAGAACTTCGTTAAACGCGAGAGGGAGATAAAACAATGGAGGGATTACGCAGGCCCCGAAGATATAGATTATTTTGAATGTCAACTAGAATTACAACAGGACCTCTTAAAGAGCTATAATAACGTCGAAAGGATTATAGGCAAGTATCGATAAACTTTTTCTTATGATTAATCCTTGTGATCAAATTCAATTTAAGTAATACACATAATGAAAATACTTCTGCAGCCGAGTACAATAAACCTGACTCAGAGCATCCCGATTACTATTGTAAATGGGAAAGTCTGCCGTATGCAGACGCCACGTGGGAAGATGGAGCGTTAATAATAAAAAAGTGGCCAGAGAAGATAAAAGAATTTCGTGATAGGGAAGATTCAAAAAGGACACCGAGCAAGCACTGTAAAGCTTTGAAATATAGGCCAAAGTTTCACCAGTTAAAAGGACAACCTGAATATATGGGAAAAGGAAAAGAGTTAATTCTCAGGGATTACCAGATGGATGGACTCAATTGGTTAATTCATTCTTGGTGTAAAGAGAACAGGTAAATAAAAGCAATTGTCCTATCCTTATCATTTTGAGTGTTTATCAAAATTCTGATTTATATGTTATCTATCTGATAATACAATTATTTTGCTTTCAGTGTTATCTTGGCTGATGAAATGGGTTTGGGTAAAACGATACAGACGATATGCTTCCTATATTATCTATTTCACACACAACAACTTTATGGACCATTTTTACTAGTTGTTCCGTTGTCAACAATGACTTCTTGGCAACGAGAAATGGCCCAATGGGCACCCGACTTGAATTTTGTCACCTATTTAGGGGACGTTACGTCGCGGAATATTGTAAGTTGTACAGCCAATAAAGTATACATAGAAAAACATAGTTTCTACATGTAAATTTTGACTAGCAAAATTAATTTTAATTACAGATTCGAGAATATGAATGGTGTTATTCTTCAAAAAGATTAAAATTCAATGCCATCCTTACTACATACGAAATAGTACTGAAGGATAAAGCATTCTTGGGAGTTCTAAACTGGGCAGCCCTGCTTGTTGACGAGGCTCACCGATTAAAGAATGATGATTCTCTTTTGTACAAAGCACTGTCCGAATTTCATACTAATCATAGGTTACTTATTACTGGGACGCCATTACAAAACAGTTTGAAAGAGTTATGGGCACTGCTACACTTTATTATGCCAAATAAGTTCAATTCCTGGGAGGAGTTCGAGAAGGAGCACGATAATGCTGCCCAAAAGGGTTATTCCAAATTGCACAAACAACTTGAACCATTTATTTTACGTCGCGTCAAGAAGGATGTGGAGAAATCATTGCCTGCAAAAGTTGAGCAAATATTACGTGTTGAGATGACTTCTCTTCAGAAGCAATACTACAAATGGATTTTGACTAAGAATTATAACGCTCTTCGTAAGGGCGTTAAAGGTTCCACTGCGACATTCTTAAATATTGTTATCGAATTGAAAAAGTGTTGCAATCATGCCTTCCTGACGAAACCTACAGAAAATGAAAAAAGGGAGAGCAACGAGGATTATTTGCAACAACTTATACGTGGCTCGGGAAAGCTTGTACTGTTGGATAAACTACTGGTACGATTACGGGAAACAGGTCACAGGGTTTTAATATTCAGTCAAATGGTCAGGATGTTAGATATTCTTGGAGAGTATCTACAAAAGAGACACTTTCCATTCCAAAGACTCGACGGAAGCATAAAGGGTGAACTCAGAAAGCAGGCATTGGATCATTTCAACGCTGATGGATCACCAGATTTCTGTTTCTTATTGTCCACACGTGCTGGTGGTCTTGGTATTAACTTGGCTACAGCTGATACAGTTATTATCTTTGACTCCGATTGGAATCCTCAGAATGACTTGCAAGCTCAGGCTAGGGCGCATCGTATTGGACAAAAGAATCAGGTACTTGGATGATTATTACACTTTAAGAAAGACATTGCATTGTATTTAACTGCTATACAGCGTTGTCCCAGGATTTATAAATACTTAAGGATTCGTCTTTAAATTTCTGTGACAGGTTAATATATATCGGTTAGTAACAAAAAATTCAGTGGAGGAAGAGATTGTAGAACGTGCAAAGCAAAAAATGGTACTAGACCATTTGGTTATTCAACGGATGGATACCACTGGGCGAACTGTGCTCGATAAAAAAAGTGCCGCCACCAACAATACTCCATTTAACAAGGAAGATCTTAACGCCATCTTAAAATTCGGCGCTGAAGAATTATTTAAGGATGAAGAAGACGGAGACGAGGAACCTACCGTAAGTTCAATAAGAGATGGTTAATATAAAAAATAAGAAGATTGTGCACGATATTATTTCTCCGGGAATATTAATGGAATTGTTACTCAAATAGTGTGATATCGATGAAATTTTGAGACGAGCGGAAACGAGAGACGAAGCACCAGCGACAGTTGGAGATGAATTACTTTCGGCGTTTAAAGTTGCCAGTTTTGCTGCCTTCGAGGAAGAATCTGAGCCAGTTGCTCAGCCCAATGAAAACGACGATGAAAGCAAAGATTGGGTGAGTAAATCTTGCAATTTTATAATAATTTTTATTTCAGTATTATTGATTAAGTACCTGCAGACCCACAGTGTCTTTCGGGTACTAATCTGTATTCTTCATCAATATGCTCATTGTTATGTATTCATACCAATAGTTAAAGATATTCTTTTGATTCTGTTTGTTTTAACGATATGTCTTCACCCGCCACGTGAAATGTGTTTAAACACGTGTTAAAATTGTTTCTGATTGTTACTTATTACTCGTTTTCTTGTTATTTCCTTCAGGCGGAAATTATCCCTGAAAATTTCAGGATAAAAGTTGAGGAGGAGGAGAAATCTAAGGAAATGGAGGATCTGTACCTTCCACCAAGAAGTCGGAAAACATTGCAACAAATTAATCAATCTGGCGAAGGTATAATTACATTCAAAGGTTATTCAAGTATCTTTGAAAATTATGTGACAATGCTCTAAGAATTTGTTTGATATTTTTTACTGAAGGAAGAGGTAGGAAACGGAAGAAGACATTAGGCGACGATAGCGAGGATGCTGAGGAGTCTGGTAGTGACGTAGATGGCAGTGATGATGATAGACCGAAGAAACGAGGTAGACCCAGAGTGACACCTCGTGAAAATATGAAGAGTTTCACTGACGTTGAAGTAAGTCCTAGCTTTAGAAAATCATCGTAGATAACTAAAATAATTTATCAACACTAAATTGTATGCTAACTGTCATTGTATAATTTTTTTTTTTAATAGATCAGACGATTTGTAAAGAGTTACAAAAAGTTTGGAGCACCACTGAAGCGCTTAGACGATATCGCAGCAGATGCTGAGTTGCAAGAGAAGCCAATGTCTGAGTTGCGCTATCTTGGAGAACAACTCAGGTCAAGATGTGAGGCTTGCATAACGGAGTTCGAGAGTACTGCCAAGGAAAATAAGGCTGGTGAAGAAGAGGGCAGGGGACCAGGTCGCAAAAGAGGAAGAGGTCCTACATTTAAAGTTGGTGGCGTTATGGTCAATGCAAAATCTCTCTCTGCTGCTGAAAAGGAACTTGAACCTCTAGATCAAGCATTACCATCTGACTCTGAACAACGAGCCAACTGGCATCTTGATGTGAAGTACGTTTCACATCTATCGATACCTCCATGATTTTTCTCTTTTACTTTAATTTTTTTATCATTTTTTATTGCAGTTTTTATACCTATTTATGTAGGCAAATGTATTTGATTGATTTCAGATTGAAACCTGCCAACTTTGACTGTGATTGGAATTCCGATGATGACTCTAGATTGTTAAGGGGTATCTATCAACACGGAATGGGATCTTGGGAAGCCATTAAGATGGATGCCACACTGAAACTTGGCGATAAAATTCTACCCAATGATTGTAAACCGCAAGTGAAACAATTAAATGCACGTGCTGAGTATCTTCTTAAGGTTCTTAAGAAGCAGATGGACCTGAAATTAGGACTGGTAAGTTTATAATGTAAATCATTGACACTAGATATACATATGTATATGTGATTTGAATTTTAAGTTATTAAGAAAGTCAGTCCTTATTTATGTTAATTGATTATAATATTATTTTAACAATGTTTTTAGACACGAACAAGGAAACCTCGGAAACCTAAAGAAGTGAAAACAGCGATCACTAAAGAAATAATTGAAGACAATGATAGCTCAGGTGATGAAAGTAAAAAATCGAAACCAAAAGTTGACAAGGTACGTTGTAACATTTTTTTAAACAATATTGTTAAAGACAATGAGGCCTATAAATTATGTTCTACATGATATCCAATACTTCCCTTGATGCACTATGAATATACTTCATCTCTATGCATATCTTGGCAGCGCTTCAAGATAACTTATGTCGCATTTCTATTTTGACAAGTCATATAGACCTGTAGTTGCCAAATTGTGAAAATAACATTGAAAATACTTACAAAACAGATCAATTGAGGGACAACTGTGTTTTCGAGTCTCGCGTCAGTGATATAACAAATATGTAACTTTATCTTAAATGTAATTTGTAAATGTAACATTGCAGCAGCTCGTGAAAAAGGAAGAAGAGTTCGTTTTGAAAAGAGAAATTAAAGAAGAGAGTGATGCTGCCTGCGAAGAAAAAAAGAAAGAGAAGAAAGTAAAGAAAGAAAAGAAGGAGAGTAAGAAAAATAAAAAGAACAAGCAGCCAGTTGGACCGATGCACTTTACAGCTAACAATGAACCCAGAGCTCTGGACGTCTTGGGCGATTTAGATCCTTCGATATTCAACGAGGTTATTATTATTATCTAACGTGATTTTACTTTATACTTTAAACCATATCTTATTGTGATCATCTTTCGCAGTGCAAGGAGAAAATGAGACCTGTGAAGAAAGCCTTAAAGGCCCTGGATAGACCAGATCAGTCATTAAGTGAAGCAGATCAGGTGGCTCATACTCGCCAATGTCTCGTTCAAATTGGAAATCAGATCAACACATGCCTGTCGGAGTATAAGGATCCCGAGCAAATAAAAGAATGGCGTAGTAATCTATGGTACTTCGTATCCAAGTTCACGGAATTTGATGCGAAGAAACTTTATAAATTGTACAAACATGCGACGAGGAAAGGTGACCATAACGTCAGTGCATCGTCCAGTCCTGAGAAAAAGGAAGAACCCATAAATCCAAAGGTATTTTTCGCCTCTGTCATAATATACGGAACATCCGGTATACACATTAAAAAGCATGCAACAATACTAACTCTTCAATTATTTTAATTTTTCAGAAATATGAAAAGCAGTATGATAAACATATCGAAAAACACGCGACAGACGGTAGCAGTAAAGATTCTCGATCAATAAAACGTAGAATCGAAGATATGGATGAAAATATAAATAACAGTCATCCAAATAAAAAATATCCAACGTCTACCTCTATGGTTGGTAGTAGTACCACTACCGTCACGACTGGTTCAGTAACAATTACTCCAGTTACGTCAACACCAAACTCCACATCAAGTACTACGAATAGTGTTGAGACTCCAAGACAAAAAGAGCCAAAGGAGTCCAAGCATAAGGATATTAAACGGGAAAGGGATAGGGATAGAGATAGAGACAGAACGCACAGTGATAGAGGAATGGATAGATTAAGTGGGGGTAAAGATGAGAGGACTAGAAGGGATAGTGGTGGATATAACATGACTGGTCATTATAGTGGGAGTCGTGAAGATGATCATTGGATGTCGAGAGACGGAAGGGATCCTCGCGATGGCAGGTAAATGGAAATATATTTAAGTATCACATTATGTGATGTCTTGATAATCTTTCTTTGATTATATTCATAATTTTTGTTTATTCTATTGGTGCAGGTTTGGAGATCATAAACGTGAAAGGTTTGAATCTTACGGACGAATGTCTAGTGGATATCACAGGGATCGAGAAAGGGATCGAGACCGTGGTATGCACATAAACGACAAGAGAAGGTGAATATTTGATTATTTAATAATATTGTGATATACTTTATTTGGAATGTACTAATTAAATTCTCGTTTTTAATAATCAGTTAGATTATACGTGACAAAAGTTTCATCGTTTTGCAGTGACTATTACAGATATCCGCCGGGTCCACCGAGTTATGGATATGGAGGTCCAGGTGGTTATAGCAGCGGTGGCGGAGGTGGTGGTTATCCACCTTCGGATATGCCTCCAAGTCATTATAGAGGACGAACTTATCCTGGTGACGGCTATCCCAGTGATTGGCGGCCGAGCAAAGATTACAGACGCGATTACGATAGAAGACCTCCACCGCCAAATGCCAACTCCTAGTGCTCCTTCCTCGCCACCGTCCTCGAGTGTGTTGTTAACCGGTTATAATTTTTCTATAACCTTACATTATGCTGTTCTGACTGACTGTGCACCGCGAATCGTGCTCCGCACTAATGGAAACGTGGCTAGACTATGAAGTCTCATTAGCCCTTCCTTAATGGCGCTGAAGTTACTCGTGGGCCGTAGCCGTGTAAAAGAAAAAGAAAAACAGAAAAAGAAATCTATTCCGATGCTTATCCAATCGCAGATAATTTTAACGTGATCAGGTCTTTTTGAAAGGCCCCTTATTTACGTATAGGTTGGTGGACAGTTCACGAATGAAAATATATGAATAGTACATAATACATTTTTATATACTCGAGTTTGTGTAAAGTGTCGATAACAGTGAAACAGATTTTTAAGTTTATATTTGGTAACTTATGTCGCACGATGAAAAAAATGAAGTAACTGACAACAGTGATGAGTCTCTATTTGCCCCAATTGTATCGTATTTCGATCGGTTTATTATTGTGCAATTCTGTCGGGGTATATTAATTACTCGTGTCGTTAAATATTAAGAAATGATTGTGTTTCTGTAAATGCGTGTAATGTTTCTGGTCGATGGTCCGTGAATTACAGTAAGAAAAATGCCTTCCTTTCCGATAGCTTCAAAACGTGTACAATTAATTAATTTTTGCATTTTGAGTACCCACTACCAACTTTCAGTTTACGAGTAAATTACAATAATAACGCATATATCTTACATCTATTTTCATGGATCTTCATAATTAATTTTTGATGGTATAATTCCGAGCAATGGAAACTTGTAAATGTTACAAAATGCATTTCCTCATTAATAACGTAAGCTTAATCTGTAACTTAACAGAGATAGATTTATTTAATTAACTAACAACTTATTGCTCCATCAAGATAGATGTAAACTCGATTAAAATTGTTTTGTGCAGCGTTGTCGTCAGATATTCTGTCATTGCAAATGAAAATAATATTAAACTGCTGTTAACATGTTTAGTATCACATAATTCAGCCACAAATTAGATTTTATATTAAGAGAAAAAAAAAGTATGTATATTATGCTGAGAACAGGACCAGAAAGAACTCACTCTTTTCGAATAATAATATGGCATTCGGCACAGTCCACTTCATAGTACCAAAACTGAAATCATGCATGAAATTATGTGGATAATGAATCATCATTAATGACAAGAAATATTATGACTTAAATATTTCGAATGATTATTAAGTTGTTATAAAGGAACATCAACTACGGTATTGCCTTTACTTCTTTTTTTGTTTACCGTAAACTCATTCTGCTACAAATCACGTTCCTATTTTATGCACTGAATTTCTGGTCAAAGATAGAATTATCAAATTTAAGTACATCAAGGACATGTTATTTCTGTCCTAAATCAGAACACGGAGCGCTTCACTTTTTTGTATAATCTACGTCGATGAAAGTATGGAATAACTTTGTATTTGTTGAAAACGAAACACCGTAAGGTTAACAAAATGTACGTTTGGCGATATAAGCGAACATTTTTCCCTTCATAATGGGTATAATACCTTCGTATTATTTCCTGCACGCTATGCCTTTATTAGAGTGTGTAAAGCATAAATTATTTTGTAGATTATTATTATTACTATAATTACACAAAACCAAGCTAATCAGTTTATGGTCAATAGTTAAAACCTCTTACAATTTTTAGTGTGCATTTGTGTAAATAATAGAATAGAATATATTAAGTAAGAAAGACATGGCCACGATCACAAAGAATCATAATGGTAATATATAAGTAACGTGTTTAAATGTATTAAACACTGTACGAGAAAAGGAATGTGTAAGAATCACAGCCTGATAGAAAATCTGCTAGTTTAGATTTTTATTTTTTGAGATAAAAGTTCAATACACGATGGTAGCTCAGCCGTTTATAATTTATTACTAGCTGAACACAAATCATGAATAGTAAGGAGAAAAAACAATGGAAAAAACATGCTGTATATATAAATAAGTAAATAAAGTAATTAATGATATAGTAAGATATATAGTCTAACAGTCGATATATCGTATTATAAAAAGCAGATAGCATCATGATATAATAGGAATGTATTTTATCTATCTTTATTGTAGATTATTAAATATTTCTGGAAATACATCTAGAAACTCATTTTTTAATACAACTTGTACCTCCAAGGAAACATTGGTTACAGATAAACAATATGTATTGTATAACAAATTGCCGCTAATAATTTTAGTGCGGTGTTGAAAATTTGATCGAATTTCTGTCTACAACATTTTCTCGTCTAGTAAGATTTTGATCGTTGACCCAATTTATCCAGGTTTTTTCAGTCTTCCAAAAATAACGGTTACAATATCTGTATACTGTTCTATACAATTTTTTGAGGATCTCTTGAAACATTTTTTTTGGAATCTACACTCCAGTTATCAAAAAACATGATACCTACCCGTTTACATGCATGTATAAAAAGTATTGCAAATCCCGACTGTAGAAACTAGATTTGTTATTCTACGTTTGAAAATAGATTGAAGGCTTTGTGAATTCGGCGTTTCGCTCTTCGTTCCTTCGCGCTGCGTTACTTCAGCCGTCCCGGCCATATACGATTAACACACATGCGCATCTCCTACATTATCTTTCTCTCTTCTTCTTACTCTCACGTTTCTTACACTTACTCACTTTCTCATCATTTCCAGGCATTCAAGAGAAGAAGAAACTCCTGTCGATTGCGTCAGTGTTCACATAAAACGAAGTACAGTTTGAACGCAAAAAAATTCTTAAGGTAAGCACGAGCCGTGTGGTAATTACTTTATCTTCCGTATTAATCATAAATTTTATTATGTCAATATTCTTATTAGTCTTCGGTCATAACAAAGTATCAACCTTGGTCTAATATGTAAAATAATTTTTTATTGCTGTGACGATGGAGAATCGTGTTACCGTTCTTCTTTGAACTATTCCAAAGTAGTTTATTGTTAAAGAAAATACTTTCTCGATATATTCTTCTTTATTCAACTATTTTAAATATAGAACAGTTGATTTATGAATGCATTCTCGTTCAAGTACTATAACGTTATACGTTCCCATAAAAATACAGTTATTTTTAGTTAAATGCAATTCCAAAGTACAGTCATAATACTTAATAATTGCCTCAAGGCGGATTAATATATGAAAATATAAATATTACGTTCTATTTTCGATTTAAATATTTAGTTGCGGGAAACTACGTCTTCAGAAATACGTTGTCATCTTGAACTATTGTCTTAATTAATTTCGAGACGCGCGAAGATTATTGCAAATTAAATGTATAATAGTTATATCAGAAAGTTTTAGTCATCGCATATAGTGTATTTTAAATTCAATATTTGTTTCCTCTGAGCATGTATGAGTTTATCAATCCCCTCTTTTTATTTTCATCCACCTCCTCAATCCTTCATACTGGAGTTGATACAGTCAAGTACGTTGCGCAGCAATCTCTACGGCATTCGACTACAGTGTTGTACCGGTATTGGAAAGTATTCAGAACTTTGTTACTCGCAGTCAGGATAACTATATTTATTCTTAAGACGTAATTTAACGAGCAAAATCATTTCGCGTTTCTTTCGCCAGTACATTTGAGCTATCGAAATATCAAGTAAGTCATTCCCTTTTCAATTCTATTTTGCAATTCATCCTGGACGAATGCGCATCCGGATAACCGGCACTACATTTAATATACATATGTATGTTTTTGGCAGAATAAGAATTATCTAGAATCTACTTGTACCGATATACAATGATAGTGCAATGATTCTTATTATTAAGTAGCTCTTTAAATTTCGTTCATGTTCTGTTTGACGGTGTTCTACGTACTTCTGTGACCTTGTAAAATCCTTTAAAGTATTACATTAATTTTTGCTAGAAGTTAATGTGGTCTGTTCACATTTTTTTTTTACCGGCTTGTGCTATCTATGATATAATAGATATTTTGTAAATGTAACCTTGTTTTAAATCGATAGCTATTTGTCTCGTTTATTTTACTTCACCGATTTTTCAATTTCAAAGGGAGTGTCTTTTGTTGCTATGAGCTGACACGGCTCCACCTACGTTTAAAATTCATGCCTAACACCGGTTTCATGTACTGGTATTTAATACCGGTACTAATATGTATTTAATCAGTTAATAATGCAGATTTGAGATTATAACACAATATATATGTATGTTTATCTGTAGTTATTTATTGTTTTATTTGATTGATTAATTTGTAACAAATGTATAAACAATGTAAATCTATGTCATTGTGTGAGGGCTATTAATAATTGTGAGAATTCTGTTTCATAAATATTTGATACTTTATATTTAGTTTCATGAAACCTAAATTCAACAAATAAGTATATGTATTTTGACACTGATAGAAGAATTATTGTAATGCATTTTAGTGCAAAGATATTAAATTCATAGAATATAATACAGACTGCTTGATCAGATGTGACATGACTTCCAAGCACATATGTTTAGCATAGAGCTCTTGGCGGCTTATGAGTCACTGCATTGTAATCCAAATACGTGCACAAGTCAAAGTTTGTTTCTTGCATTAATATCTTTCACGATCACAACAGGCGTTTCAGATGTATGTTAAGTGTTTTTATTCATTTTATAACAAAATTTTAAGTCATGGTTGGATATTTTTATCTGTCACTTTATTTACTTATGTATTTGCAAATGATATTCATATGTTGCAATGAAAGCACATTCTATTTACAGAATGGCAGGTGATCGCTTCGATCTGGTGATTTTTGGTGCTACAGGATTTACAGGAAAATATACAGTTAAAGAAGCTGCTCGATTGGCAAAGGAAAAGTCAATCTCATGGGGTGTAGCAGGACGTCGAAAGGAAGCTTTAGAAGCTGTCCTTAAAGAATTTGCTCCTGATTTTGGTAAAACAATTATTGCCAACATTATTCCTAAATACATTAATCATATTCGTTATGCAAATTTTACCAATTGGAAGGATCGTACACTATTAATAAACTAATATTTTTTTTTAGATAATATTCCTATTATCATTGCGGACGTCAATGATGAAGAATCTCTAAAGAAGATGACAGAACAAGCCAAAGTGATAGTTAACTGTTGTGGACCATATAGATTTTTTGGTGAACCTGTTGTTAAAGCCTGTATTGCAACTCGTACTCATCATGTTGACGTCAGTGGAGAACCTCAGGTATATAAATTTGCTTTTACTCGTTAAAGATCTTTAATATAATGAATATTTTTTATTCAAACTTTTTCCTTTTTATTTACAGTATATGGAACGGATACAATTAGAATACAATAAAGCTGCTCAAGAAGCTGGTATATACATAGTCAGTGCTTGTGGTTTTGATAGTATTCCTTGTGATCTTGGTGTTATTTTCACACAACAGAAATTTGAAGGTGAAGTTAATAGCATTGAAACCTACTTAAATACTTGGAAAACAGAAAATGCTGCTGGTGGTGCAGCGATTCATTATGGGACTTGGGAGTCCGCAGTTTACGGACTGGCACACGCAAACGAATTGCGCGAATTGCGTCGTAAACTTTATCCTGAACCCTTACCAGACTTGGAGCCAAAATTAAAGTCAAGGTATTACTGTAAAATCTTGTCTAACTAATATGCCGACTGTGTTAAATGTTCTTGTAAAATGTCGATATCTGATTTTAGAGGAAAAGTTCATAAAAGTGCGTTATCTACTGGATACTCTGTACCGTTTCCAGGAGCAGATCGTTCGATTGTTATACGCTCCCAACGGTTCTTATATGAAAAATATAAGCAGAGGCCAGTTCAAATACAGACTTATGTGACGTTCAAGTGCGTATGATCTTAGTAAAAATATTTTAATTGAGCTTGCTCAGTTAAAACCTTTTTCCACGATAGAAATTGTATGAATTTTTTCTTATTGTTAGATCGGCACTGTCGTTGATGGCAACTGCTATTGTTGGTTTGTTCTTCTCATTGCTGACCAAATGTGAATGCGGGCGGAAACTACTTTTAAAGGTAAGTGTCTCCACCATGTTTTGATTTGTAATAAAAAATTTTAATTACGTTTTGTAAAAATCAAATTTTATTATTACGTGTATGCAGCATCCGAAGTTTTTCTCGGCTGGGTTCGTCAGCCATGAGGGACCAAAACCGGAAACTATGGAGAATACCCACTTTTCCATAACGTTTAAGGCTAGTGGCTGGACAGAAAAATTAGCAGAACCAACTGATAAGCATCAGGAGCCACCTAACAAAGATTTAATTACCAAAGTCTCAGGTGTCAATCCTGCATACGGTGCTACATGTACTGCTCTTCTATTATCCGCTATTACAATTCTTAAGGAGGCTGACAAAATTCCTGATAAGTAAGTTTCCATATTTATTTTTATTAAACGTTAACTATAATTTTTAAAAACGTATTGTACCTGGATAAATTGTTTATTCGTTATTTAGCGGTGGCATTTTACCTCCTGGTGCTGCTTTTGCGAAAACATCATTGATTGAAGAGTTGAATAAGAACGGTTTTAAATTTGAAGTTATCTCCTCCATCGAAAAGTAAAGGTATTTCAGTTTGAGTATTTTCGGTTACCAGCCTCCTTCTACAAGTAATAAGTATCAGTATAAAGGGACGTGTTACAGATTATCGGCTGAATCTATAGATTTATTTCATTAATTTACTATTCAAAATCTTTAACTCGAAAAGAAATTTGTAATTTTTATTTACATTACCCTTAGTCTATAACATGCTTTGCGTTTGAGTGATGTCGTAATCAGTTTGTTTGTTTGATATTTTTTTAATTACATTTGATTCACAAAACAAGTTTTATGGCGTGGCTTAATTTACTATTATATGTGAAAAACCAAAAAAAATTGGACACTGTTTATTGTGATGTTCAATTAAATTTTTAATTATTTATTCACGTTTGAAGATGTAGAAAGGTAAGATTCTTGGAATTTGCCAATATGGATTCACGTTTTCTTTCTATATTTGAAACTACTGAGAAAGTTTCATAAAGCACAAGTATTTCATACAAAAATTTCATACAAAAATTTCATACTTGACTGAATATTCTGCTGGTTATAAAGGGAATTGATCGATTGATTATCAGACTTTTATCCTAAAGCGAAAGAAAATCCCCTAGCAGGTTTGTTACTTTGCAGCATAAGTTAAATTAAAATAAAGAACATATACATGTGTTGAATACTTGTATTCCATCGTAAAGTAATATTCAAGCTATTTTGTGCTCAATTACAGGGGAGAGTTTAAAAATAAATAACCATATAAGACCAGGATGTATTTTTTTGAAATTATTCCAAAAAGAAATATTGCTGTCCTGTGAAATAATTGAAGACTATAAAATTCAACAACCGTTTGGGTAACTAATGGTATTGAGGAAGGAATTCTCTTGCAATTTGTGAATGATAAAAATATTCGCGAAATAACCTTTATCTTACATTGTGCGAATTATATTGTATCACAGAACAGGGAGGTTTTACTTGTGTCTTCCTTATTGCTATCTTGAAATATTGCAACGTAATAGAGAAAGAAAGAAGCTTCATATAAGGTCCTCCATGTACCAAAATTACTTAAGTAAAAGATAATTAACATGAGCGACAAGATAAATAACTGTTTCTATATTTTTTTTCACGATATATTTTATCAATATTTTATTAAGTAATAATTATCGGCAGATATATTATACGTATGTGTTAGAAATGTAACAGTTATTTTTTAGCTTTATACTGCTTACATATTCCTGTGCAACGTACTATGTACATGTTATTTTAATAAAGACGATTTTAACCGACCAAAATTGTCTTTACCTATTTATATATATATGTACATCTACTAGTTCATTTATCAATTACTTTTAATAATTATAATTGATTTAACGTTTCCTAGGTATAATGTAAAATAAATTCTAATCGTATTATACAATGTCCTCAATAGTTCGTTCAGAATATGATGACAGGTGTAAAAAAGGTTAAAACTAGGTCAAGATTAGATTGAAACATTCAATATAATAAAATCATCATTGACTCGCATGAAATCCTTGATCGGTATCTACGACATTGAAGGTGGTAAAAAAAACCAATACATTTCATGGCTGCAGAAGAAAGGTGATTGCCCTGTTCTCCAAACAATTATTTAGCCACTAATCATGGATGTATTAATATATGGATGTTATACAATTCTGTAGACTCATTAAAAATGTGAGTAGCTATACCTAAACTTGGCCAACGTACAAAAGTAAAAATGAATTATTATAATATATTCTTAAACAGCACTAAATCGATCCCGTGATCCTGTAACTGTTTCAGAAAAGCTTCTGAAATACAACCTACGGCCGATTTTCCAGCATTATCCTTAATTTCTTAAGAAAATCGACATGCAACCTCTAAGACATCTGCACCTGAATAAGTGTCCTTCTGATCCTGCTAAAGGAAACCAATATTGCAAACAGGTGACCTACTTCGAACGAAGCATCTATACAACAAATAAAAGGAAAAGTATATTTGTCAATTTAAAGGTCTTGGACGTAGTCAATCTATTAGTCACATAGTAAATGGGAAAAAGATGGAGAGAAAGAATACCTCATATATGCTGTGCGAGTTCTGCCTGAAGGTATGATCGGGGACGATAAGACGTTAAAACTGGTAATACGTCAGACGGGAGAACTTCCTTCCTTTCCTTTCCTTATGGCTGCCTCCTCCAATGAGATGTGCCAAGACATGGGAGAACTGACTGTAAGTAAGTTCATAACCATTAATCCAGTCATGATGAAACGCATGCACACTTATCTCAAAAATGAACGTCTCAATTTTGACAGGTTAACCATTGAATCGAGGAAAGGTAAAGTCCATATTCTTGGCTGAAGGTTTTTATTTAATTCATATCAAGTATTGTGTGACATGATATCGTTCGTTTCCATTGTCCGTCAGCGAATGATGTAAGAGCAATAATACGAGCGGACTATGGAGATGGAAAAGAAAAAAGAGGACACTGAGTCTGTATCGATCGTCTTTGAACGAGCTGACAAATCCCTTTTCCCCTCGCCTCTCGTGATTGTCCGATGACGCGCATCAGGAAATCTCAGATCGGCTGCCGTCGAATAAATTTGCCGGATCGCATTTTCTGCGAAGACTATTATTAATGAAAACCAAACGATTCTACGTATCTTTCTGGGATTCTCATTGTAAGGTATTTTCTTGGAGTTAACAATATTATGTCATCTAGTGAATCCCAATCTTGATTTCATCACAGTTGGTATAATTTATGTCCTATATAATAATAGTATCCCAGAGGAACATACGAATGGAATGCTAATATAGGTCCCTGCAGTTACGGAGATTCCGTTTACGCAGATTGCTGGGTAACTTGTTTCGCACGAGTATACGTGTTTGTGGTGTATCCCATGGATGACGTCAATGATATGACGTGATAATATCGTGTTACTTTGATCGATGCAATTGTCCGTTTAATGCGAACCTGCACACTTTCTTATCTTTGACAAAAATTATACCAATATACGATCCAATTAAAATCAATAACAGCCGATACGATTGATTGTAAATGAAAATTGATCGATTTTTCAGCAATTTAAATATAATAGGAGATACCGACAAAACTGGCTTAATCATGAGATACGAGGATGCTAATGGAAGAAAAGGAATTCCTGAGAATCATATACGACCAGTAGGTGTAAACGCCCGGAGTAGGGAATCCCTGTGATTCACAAACGATCAGTTGAGGAGCAAGTAAAGTTAGTTGATCTTGCTCTAGAGAGGTTCTTTTTCTGGTCAGTATAGTGACCGTGAATAAAAGCGAATGAGAAACACGTTTCAAGGAAGATAAAGACAGGCTGAGAGACAGAGAGAGTGACAGAATGACGAATTCGTAGAGAAAGAGGGGGTCGGCTCTTAAAGGCTTTCAATGGCCTCCATATATAAACCCTGGTTGCTGCCCCAATCCAAACTTATTTCTGCGAACACTACCCTGGAGAGACAAACAGCCCTGTGCTAACACCATTTCTTTAATAATATTCATTCAAACATTTTCTCTTGTGCTTCACTCCGGAAGATCTACACCCGCAAGATGAGGGACCAGAAGGACTTGAAGAACCGCGAAAACGGCACGGAGAACGGCAAGAGTCGATGCACTTGTCCCCATAATACCAGCAAAGGTGAGCATTTTTAATTAATGATTATCAATATTTTTTATTCATTTCATTTACAACGCACGGCAATTCACATGACACGTACGGTAGGTTTCATGATAGCTTCATACTTGTTTCAAATTCATTTTCTTCTTCATTAAATAAGGATCTACCTTTAGTTTAACTGTGCCGTACTATGCATCTGGTGGATCTATGATCTACATGTTACAGATCATAGCTTTCCAATGAGGAGTTTGAAATTTCATAATTTTTATACTTTACTGGCTCATGCTAGATCATCTTTCATTATATATAATCCTAACATATTTATCTAATGTATTATGAATTTTAATAATAACCTCGACGAATGCCTGTATTGAGACAATCTTTTCTTTTTCTGATACATTATATATTGATACACCTGTGGTACTTTCAATATCACTGACTGACTTGTAGATCGAATTTCGATACGTAACTCGATCAGGTGGTACATTTTTTGTGCGTATCCGTAATCTATATTGTAATATCATAAAAAATGTCACTGATGAAAACTAGTGTCATTTACTTATGTGATTATTTAATTAACGATAATATGTTCAATACTAAAGTTGCAGTTGATAGTATTCTAATACCATTGAATTAGGATAATGTTCCATATATTACATTGTCAAATATTTTCAATACTAAACGTATAGTTGATAATACTTTAATGCCAATTCGAAAAATCTACTAGTTTTATCTGAAACAGAATAAAGTCGTGACGCAAAAGATTGCATAGAATTAAACAAAATTAATTATGTCTAACCAAATAATTTCATATTATACACCATTCATCTTATCGATCACAACGATTGAAGCTAATGAAAAATCAGACTATATCGAAACCCTTATACAGATCAGCACAATTGCATTGTTCAACAGGTAATTAAAAATTCTCACCATGATCATATAATTGCTTGATAAATTATGGAAAGGGAAGGTCGTTAGGCATTAATTATTTAATAATCATTACGCAACTCCGTCTTATGCACGGATCGAGATTTTCTAATTCCTCTCGTAAACAGTACTTGTTCCAAGTAAAGCCATGTGCTCGTTTTATTCCTTATTATTATACCAATAATTACTTCATGGTCGCAATGAAAATTTCTTGGATAGGACTTTATATATATATATATATATATATTTTTGCATAAGCTTCGCCGCTTCCTGCAATTATTATACCAATAATTACTTCATGGTCGCAATGAAAATTTCTTGGATAGGACTTTATATATATATATATATATTTTTGCATAAGCTTCGCCGCTTCCTGCAAATATTATACACAGAAGTAGAAATTCACTTTACGTTTCCTTTACGTAACCGAAGGTCTTGCGCAATCATCGACACATGAAACAATCAGTTCTATAACGTCTCTTTAATTGTGCTTGAAACAAGAGTAATGCTTTACTTTTATTTTCACACTCGGTCACCGATTCACGAATGCATCATAACGCTAGTGCAATACGTTGGTTGCATCTTATTTCTTATTGTGTATATCAATTCAACGATTGACAATATTCGACAATTGATTTTTTAATTTATCATTGTGTTATTTACGTCATTATCGTGACACGTGACAATCGATGGGATGAGGAAGAATAAATTTTTGTTGTGGAAATAAAAAGCTCTACAGGAATTTTCCATTTTAGTCTGGTCATGCGGGATGTATATAGCTATATATTGTATGACGTTCAAAGTGGACCTTTTGAATGTACCCGGTGAACGCGTCATTAAGCTCAACCCTAATGGCCGTATTGTATTAAGCTTATATCCTTTCGGCTGGGCTTATCATACTTCCGGAAGTGGTTTGCGCAATTATATTGTGCTACTATTTAACCAAAGTCCTTACGGGTATGTTTTCGTAATGGGTCGTTAAACTTTTTCGAAAGCTTCTTGTATCGATATCTTTTGTTATTTTTTTTTTTCAATTACTTTCCGATGTAATATTTTTTCACCGAAGGGTTTAAGGACGTTTCACAGGACGCACGAGACTATTGTCATTGACCGTTGATTGCTATATATTTAGCCTTGATTCCTGCAGAAAGTTTCTTCGACGCAGTCCCGAGTCAGGAAAGTTCCTCGCGTTGTTTCTCCATCGTTGAAATTATTAGAGCAAACGCGATCACGCGGTTTCCTTAAATTTCGAAATAGTAGAAAACTTGGCAATGAATAGGAGTGATTTGGCGGTTTCTACTTATTCCTTAATAATTATTATGTGTGTGCGATAATTATTATTAGTAAAAATTATACAATATTAAATCTGATAAGGAGTGGATAATGCCGAATTTGCTCGTTTTTAATATTTTTATTCGTCAAATACGTTTTCGTCGTACTAATCGCTACTCGGCTACTATCGGACTATTTTCCGATTATTCTATTAAAAAATATATTTTCGATAAATTTTCGAAAATGTGGATCACTAATTATTAATTTTTTTTTCAATTACTATGCGGTCTTGTATTTTGAGAATTTTTTAACTATTTCGAGTGATTAACAATTTGTTATTTGAAATTGGTACGTTCGTGGATCAGATTGTTATCCGTTGTCTTAAGGTCCAGTAAAGACTTAAAGTCTTCCTGTTAGCCTCGACTTGTGTCAAGGTTTCTAATATCTACGCATATTGGCGCAGCAGTCTTGTCAGAATATCCTGATTGCTTTATCGACGAGTGAATCTTGTTAGAAGGAAAGGAATTGATCGAGTATCACTAGGGGCCAATTATTTCCAACATTGGCTCCAACAATGGGAAGTTGACACAGGAGCGACGTCGAAACGATGTAAAAGTGTTTACCAAGGGAGACTCCGAATATGTGGTAGAAGAGATTTTTGCGATTTTGTTTACCAGCCCCCTAAACGGCAGAGTTAAGATTGGTAGTTGTGGTGAATTTTGGCAAAGAAAAAAAATGTTATTAAGGATTTTTCGCTGATTGTGAATTCGTTATTATTTTATGAAATTCAATATGGCGATTGAAAATGTTAAAAATTCAAATAGTCACTCGATTGTCGAAATACTGTCTTCATATAAGCTTTCAATCAGAATATCAAATTTGCAATCAGTCACTTCGAGAACCTCCGTATATGAAATTTTGTAAATAATTATTTCGCCAACTTTGACTAGTCATACTTTTTCCGCATTAACAGATAACGAAAAACCGATGTGAAATTCATAATCAGCAATCCCTTATATCATTTATATATTATTTATCATTTTTAGCACCGCTCCGTCTCAGTTAACACTAATCGTACCTTCGACGGGTCATTTGACCCTTTTCAAGCCAATAATACATTTATAAAAAATTGTCGGTATGCTCAGTGTTAAAGGGTTCACAAATCTCGACTGTTGACAGGCACGAGTGGCTACTAAACTAGCAATAACTCCAGCCTCATACATTTTATCTCGTCTTTACGCAAGCAGAAATTGTGAAAATATTTTTAAGAATGTCAAATCTGTATTTTCTTCATTGTAAGTTATTGACCAAATAACCCCAGAAGCAGTGTACTTACTTACGCCCATGTATACCTAACCATACCTAACGCCCCGTAAAGGAGGAAATTAAAATGCTGCAGTATGTCAGGTCCAGCAAAAGGAAAGTGGCTGTACGCACGTGGAAAGTCCACGTTGATGCGGGTTATTCCCAAGCCTTTATCCTTGTCAGCAAAGGAAAAGGGTGAAGCGACAGTCGTAAGAAGCACCGTTGAAATAGGGCAGATGCAACAGGTTATGTTAAGGTATAAATAAGAAGCAGTGACGTCAGTTCATGTAATAGTTTAATAGGTTTCCCTCTCTGATGATACCTCGTAATCAAAGTCGTTTGCCATGAATGGGAAAGGGAATATGTGGGAGCGAGCTAGAAGAAGGGTGGCTTCGAAAATGAATATCTTCGATCACACGAGGTTCTGTTGCTCAGTTGAAATTGACTTCGGCTTCGAAGACCATCGGGAGACGCAAGATCAGCCATAGAGGTTTGTTACAGTAACAGTAGCAATAGCAGTATCATTGATAATAACGTGAATAGTAAGAAAGATTGCAACGGCGCAACTGTCGAATCCACTGCGATTCGTACTTGGAGGAGCGAGCACAGTATTAGAGAGAGGAACTGAGTTCCATTGGATCAGTCGCACCGCGTCACTCGAGCCAGCGACCTCGCGCCACTACACGTTCTCCACTTTTCACTCTTACTTTCCGGAATAAGGTATTGCGAGGCGCGCGAAAAATTATATTTTCAAAAGTCTTTCTTTCGCGGAGAATATCGAGAGACGTCAAATAGCTGTGGTAACGTTATTCGCGATAACGGTTGAGATTTGAATTTTTGCTTACACGCGAGTGAACGCTTTAACCCGCGTGCGGTATTTATTCTGTGAGTAATAAAACAATTTATTACTCTATTGAGGATTTTTCACTTTTAAAAAGTTCAGGAAGATGGTGGACGACGATACGTTCGTTTTAAGATTTTTAAGTAACACGGAGAAAAAGGGACGGTCTTTAATGCCAAGTTCAATAGCAGAGTCCAGAAGGACCAGTGAGAATGATTGTTGGGGACAATTGTGACGTTTTAAAATTATTCTAATTTCGCACTATCGTTATTACAGTTACATACTGTTGCTTCTGTTGACGGCAGCGACACCCACGTGGAAAACGCGTACTACCTGCAGTACAATATTAGAATAGGAAAATCGAAGGCGTTTGATAACACTTTAGCTGCAAAATTTTGCATTTTTTTCTACTCCCAAGACTTCCTTAAGACAAAATGACGTTTCGAAGACGTTCGTGAGACGTTCTTTCGATATTTGTGCTCACATGGTAGTCATTCAACTTTATTATCACGCCTCTCCTTACAATTACTCTTAGTGATTTTCACTGCTATTATTTACTAGCCATTTTTCTCCGTGAACTTGTTTACTGGTCGAACAATTTCTTTTTCTTGATACTTACATACTATTGGATACTTTGACCAAGAGGAAAGGAAAGGATTCGTGTATTTACTTGAGGATCTGCGTTCTTTTAATTAGAGATAATCATGAACGGGATGAATAATCAATGTGCGAACGGAAAGTCTGAGATGAAAATCTACGACGGGGAGGATGATCATGCGGTCATTAAGAGACCTGGACCATTGAGGAATGTCTCCTGGCCTGAAAATGTCGAGGAAGCTGATTTGGAAGTTCCGGGAACTCCTAGGACTCCCAGGACTTCAACCACTCCAGGTATAATTGCGGAGAGGATTTATAACAGATAACAATGGATTGTTCTGGGTTATGTACGCGGTGATCTACGAACGATAAACCATGGGAACCGAGTACAGTTATGAAGTTGGAGTTAACCTGTAACGCATAACTGTAGAATAACAAACGCCTTTCTGCTTATTCTGTGTGGTCAAAGCATAAAGGCCGTCGAACATACAAAATCTAAGAAACACGAGCGACTTTAAAAAAATATTATATACTCCAAAGTCAATATCTATTGTGCTATCGAATAATAGATTTAAGTATGGTAGAAAAACATGGTAGAATATGGTAGAATAGAAAAACAATTGTCACGTATAAAGTGACACTGAAAATATTTTTATATATTGTTTCCATCTCGAACTTCATGTAACGAATGGTAATTAAAGGTGCTGCAGATATAATTATTAGACCATTGACAATTTAAAGATATCGAATATAAAGGAAGAATTTAAAGAAAGATATCGAATATACTGAATACTGATATCGCCTACTTACAGCTGTCACTTTTATCTACACGACTTTTCGAATTCTTGATGCTGTCACAAGTGATGTAAATTCAAAAGAAAAAAGCAATATTTCACAGACATATATATAGCTTCTCTTGAATGAAATAAGAAAGGCATTGAAAAACCGTGTGCTAAATTATTAATGACGTAGAAAATTATTTACTTTGTACTCGTGTACAAAACAAATGACGTAACAAATATTCTTATTGATTGTTACACTCGACGAAAGAGTGTAATGATTTTTATTATTTTTATTACTGTGCGCGAGTAAGCATCTTTCTTTTACCTAATTTCTAGGACGTTTGAGTAAAATGGAAAAAGTAATTTTTCACTTAGTCATGACACTCTCGGTAATGTCGAAAATATTGTCATGGAGGTCGCGACACACGATAACCGTAATTTCAGTGATAAATATCATCTGAGGTTAGAGCAATAACGAAAGAGTTTTAATTGATTTCGAAATGGACCACTCCGTGTTTCGGCTTTCGGTATAAGATTATCAGATGTCGCACAAAAAGTGCTCGAAGCCCTATTTACGAAGAGCGTAATTCAATTTTTAATTTTCTCCAGGACATGAGAAGTGTACGTTCCATCACGACTTGGAACTGGACCATCGCCCACCAACCAGGGAAGCTTTGTTGCCTGAGATGTCCAGGAGCTACAGGCTACTTCTCAGTTCCCTTGGGGAAGATCCTGATCGTCCAGGACTCCTGAAAACACCTGAGCGTGCTGCCAAAGCGATGCTCTTCTTCACGAAAGGATACGATCAGACTATCGAAGGTAAATACTTGACAGTACATGAGTATTTATTTGGAGCATAAAACTTTTCGAAAATTATATTTCTTTTTTATGTCCTTTGTCATTGCACGGATATAACAGAAGGTTAGACAATGTCTTTTAATAATTCTACTGGCCACGTAGTCGAGCTTGCACATCGGTGAACAATTAATAAAAAAGTCATCATAGATCAACATTGTGGATTATTGCATCATTGGTTGTACATTGCATGGTTCAATTTGTTCCTGAGTAGAATCCACCAAAGGTTTCTTCATGATGAAATCAGGACTTGGTGTTACGAAATATTATTTTGCTTTGATTGTTAGGTTTTGGCTTCGACATTGAATGTAATTTCACGGCAGGATATCATGCCAAGTTACGCAATTTTGGTTTGATCACGTTTGAGGAAAAAAGATAGGGAAAAAAAAGCAGAACCAGGGTGACAGAATTTACCTCGTGTTATAGGCGTGATAACGCAGAAATTCGTAGAAGCTGTTCTCAGACAGTGAGAAAGAATTGTGCTCCACGCTCTTCGACTTTCACGGGTGAAAGAATAAAGGGGAGATTCGAGTGCGCTCAGGGGTGGATGAGATGAAAAGCTCTTGATATAAATGGGCTCCAGGGACGCAGCCTGCAAAAATGAAAAGTTGAGATTTTATTTTGTCAGATATTACGAACGGTACGAAATTCTTATTTACGTCGGTAATTGAATCTATTATTTAGATTAAAAGTTCTTATTCCACTTGAGTTTCGCTTCGTTTTTTTTTTTTGTAACTCTGTAAGATACTCGAAAAATTGGATAACCAAGAAACAAAGCGCAAGCCCTGCTGACTCACCGAAGCTCTTTGATCGTAGCTACAGGTGGTGAAGAGCTCTCGCTCTAACTTTAATTCAGCCTTCTTGAACTCGGACTTGTTTTCGCTTTTTCGCCCACAAGGTGATCCCGCAGTTGACGTAAAAGTAGCTTGCCCCAGTGAATATGAAACGAATTGGTAGCACTTTGTTGTAAAAGCTCAACGTACCACCCAAAAGATATCTCAAGCTTACTTCGACAATTATGAAAAATTAGAAAACTTCGAAAATATATTCTATACGGTTCATCTAGATATTTTTTCAGAAATAGGCTAATATAGTAATCTCCACGTCGATGAGCCCCTTGGAAATTAATCAGTGACAATTAATTTGTTGAAATTTGTATAGAACAAAAAACAATGAAAAAATCTGTAGGCTTCTGGTCAATGGGGGCTGAAATTTTGTCAAGAGCCATTCCGTTCTGTCTCTTTGTGGGTCATAGCCAAGGTGTTTCTAGTTAAGGTTGCCGTGGAAACCGTGAGAGCACCCCCATATCTACAACGACAGAGTCTCATATATGAATTCACCACCATTACGACCTACACTACACTAAGTAGGTCAATATCGGGTAAATCACAGCCTGATGTACAGAAGACCTTAACGGCAGTCTCGATATTACACGTTCAATATCTTTTTCGTGGCCAATATACACAATTGCTCGTATTTACTTTCTATTGATTTATTATATTAACGATATAATTTTTTTCTCAGATGTCATCAACGATGCCGTCTTCGATGAAGATCATGACGAGATGGTTGTCGTAAAGGATATCGAGATGTTCTCCATGTGCGAGCATCATTTGGTACCATTTTATGGCAAAGTGTCCATAGGCTACTTGCCCTGCAAGAAAATACTTGGTCTCAGTAAGCTTGCCAGGTGAGAAATACACAAATTGTTTCTCAATATCAATGGAAATTTTGCATCGATCGAAAAAGCACTAAAGGAAGTACAAAATTTATGGACCGTGAACCTTAAAAAGTAGATGAAAATTTTCTTGTTTGTCCTTTACATATCACATAGATGATTTTAATGAATTTGTCATAACAAATTGTACCAGTATTCACGTAGCCTTGGTTTACTCGATTAATATAAAAAGTCTAAGGAGGTAGAAGTATGGCAAGCACTTTCACGTAGCGATCGCAGTCGACTACCCGTTTACTGGTTCAATGTCGCCTTGAATAAACTGTAAGATCGAACACTATTGTGAATACAAGTCCATCATTCCAATTATTTCAATATCGGACATTAACTGAATACCGGGTTGGACAGATTAAATTGCGATAAAGAGTTTCACTGTCAAAATATCCTTTTTATTTGTTCTGTCTTTTCAAAGAAACTCCACAGTACTTCTGAACAATTCTCTTCGATCACCTCTGGTTTATTTATCGAGAAACACTTTTTTTTTTTTTCTTATACAACCCGAGTCTCGAGACGGTCCTTTAAGAAAGCAAATAAAAATTGGTCACCTCTAAAATACATTGCTAAAATACCTTTGTCTTTCTGTATTCGCAGAATCGTGGAAATTTTCAGTCGTCGTCTTCAGGTCCAGGAACGTCTCACTAAACAAATCGCTATAGCAGTGACCAAAGCCGTTCAGCCAGCAGGAGTAGCCGTGGTAGTGGAAGGAGTGTAAGTGTACATAGAAACCAGACAATAAGTCTACTGAAATTATTGCCCTCAAAATCGATTAGCCAATCACAAGGATAAACTATGAAAGTAACATAGCGTAGCTATAAAAATTTGCGACACTATTCCTCTTATATGTATAAATGAAATTCCATAATGAAGTCTCAACTTCAATAGAAAATTTCTGGATATGATCCAATTGTCAATTGATGAAACCCGTATACATATAGACTTGCATTGGAAGAGTGCAGCGAATGCAATAGTCCCTGCATGGCCTCTAGTTCCGACTGAATGCATTTAACGTTAAGCAATGCTTTTCGCAAGTGTTCATTCGCACGTAAGAATCTAACCTTGTGCCAATAAAGGTAGTATCAGAAGTATTACCAGATTAATCAACAGTAATGTATAATCTGTAATAAATATCATGGTCCACGTAACGCTTGTATTAAGCATAAATATGCATTTTTCTGCCTAGATTATCGATCGGTAGAATTTACCTCTCACTGTCGATTCCCCTATACGGGCAATAGGACACGGGTTACATCTTAATAATTACGTACCGCTTTGATAAATATCATGGATATAATGATTAACAGTTAGGCAACCTTGTATACCATTATAATTACAAGTTATATAAATATATCATTAGCATGTAAAAGTATAATGAATGCATGCAAGGTGATTATGTTATTCATTATTAACATCATGAATATTGATTAATCGTAAACACTTTAATATCATTTATTCGTTCTTTACGCTTGAGCCGAGCAATGAAATAAAATAATATATATTATTTGTCTCTGTTGCAGACACATGTGCATGGTTATGAGAGGAGTACAAAAGATCAACAGCAAGACGATGACGTCGACTATGCTTGGAGTCTTCCGTGACGACCCTAAGACGCGTGAGGAGTTCCTCAATTTGGTTCACTCCAAGTAGATTTTTCGACGAAAGAAAAAAAAAAATGCGAAAAGACGTGTGCCCGTTTTGAAGAATTTTAATCGATCTTATTTTACTGTTAGATCGAGTCGTTAGTTCATCCGTATCACTGGTAAATCTAATGATAAGAAGCATACTGGTTTCGGATAAAATCTGCACGTTTACAAGGCGGTCGGATAAAATTTTTCGAAGAGGGTGACACTTCTTTTTATTAAACTGCTAATCTGTTGACGTAAAGACAATATATGACATGACGTAAAGCATTCGTCAAGTACCAGAAAAATGTTTAGTGTCACGTTGCGAATGCTTTACAAACACTGATTTGCGAATTTTGTTTTTTTTTTTTTACGTGGGCGATTGCCTGACTTTTCAAATGGCATGGTAATTATCAGTATACCAATTTATATTCTTAATTGGCTTGGCCTAATGACTATATAAATTCTAATTATGTGCACTCTTATTCGAAGGAACAAGCGCAACTCCCGTGCCATTCGAGAGAGTCACGATAATCCTGTAACGTAATATTGTATTTCTATTTTTTTAGAAACAATGATGAATCGAGATTGAATTTGTTAAAATGATATTATTCAAGGAAGGGCAATCGTGAAATGCATCAGCCATGCATTTCACGATGCACAGTTTAATGCGTGCACATATACATAATTTTATTTAAGTAATTATAAGATTTTATTATTTAGATTATCAAGAGTAATTTTGAATACATGCGAAAAGTCGGAAGCCTTTTAACGTTGCCTTTCCATTCGAATGACTTACGCGCTGGTTCGTTATCCTTTGTAAAGTCATAATCATAAAGCATTTGCTAGCTGAAACAAATAAGTTACTTGGCAAATGACTTATGTTATTATATTCGTTGTATTGTCCTTATTCACAATAGATCTCGGAAAGGCAACCTAATATGGCTCTACGACTCGATACCCTGCCGAAAGTTACCACAAGTTTTCCTGTTGCACTCTCTTGTGTATGACCGTAAATTGTAGATACAAAAATGACATAGGTCTCTACATGAAAACAGGTCAGAAGCTTGTAGAATTTGTGAAAATTTTTAGCGGGCTATGTATGCGCCGCTCAACCAAACATTTCATGACATCAGATAAAAATGTTTACGTACCAATTTACTGCCACGTGAGTTTGTCCACCTTTATTAACACTTTCTCAAAAGTGTAGAATATAATAGCTGCTTTAATTTTCCTTTCAATTTGAATCCCAAAGCCGTTTGATATTTTTAAATAACTCCTTGCATCAATAATTATTGTTCTACGTAAAATTCCATTGTAAGAAGTTATTTTTATAATATCAAATGTCTTATGTTGACATTGACACAATCGTTTCATTATGTTTTACGAATCTTTATGCATGACGCAAAGTGATTCAGCCATTCACAATGCTTCATGAATTAATATCGAGTTTATAATTCTTTTAATACTAAATGATCCAAAGGATCCGATTTCGAAGGACATATTTGGACCAATGTGTGTTCAACGTGTCATGATAGTTTAATGATATTTAACATTTAATAAATATTGAACTTTGTATTTTTATGTTCAGCTAACACAACGGTACCTTTGCTTTTATGGTGAGAAGTAGTAACGTATGATGAAATCGTCATATTCGTATATACCTACAGATTATATAGCAGTCTTAATTCTGCATTGTGAAGTATTTAAATTGCACACAATTGTTCTCGGGATTGCGACGAAGCCTTACAGATCAACAAGAATAAAGAAGAGAATACGAATTTATACAAGTGATATAATATGAAAGTCTATAACGTTATCTGTATCAGAATCTCGCTATTTTTATGACGACGTTATTATTTGGAGATAAATATACTTTTTTTAATACCTTTTTGAAGAAAGGAAAATGTTAATGTTACGACATGGGCAACAAGTTGCAAATTGGATTGTATGTTTGAATGTTAATGTTAAGGGAGTACTTGTACGATACGCTCTAAAAATTTCGTTTATTTGGCGCATATCAAAGAATCAAGAATGGGTTGAAAATTTGTTCGAAAAACATTCTCCTGAATGTTCTTTAATAATGAGTAAAAATGTATAGAAAGTTTGAAGGAAATGCAAGATTTTAATTCCAAAAATAACACAATTTTTAGAACGTTACACGCAACTAACACCTTAAACTTAACTGAATAGAAGTGATTTTGTAATGGAAAGTGTTTGGATGAAGTTTTAGAACCTTTGGTGCATCAACCGAGTACGAATTAATACGAGAACAGATAGTCCTTCAATGTTACTTAGGAAAATTCAATACTTATAATATTTTGTGACAATATTATATAAAGTTATATTTATATTTTAATCTGCTTTATCATTCTGACATGCAACCACCAGCCTATTATCCAGTCCAACTCTTATCACAGCTTCTCCTCGCAGGATACTTGATCATTTATTTTACATTTATAAAATTAGTATATTAAATATAAAATCGGAAATTAATATTGTGTAACATGTTGTTATACTCTTCACGGTCGTATTGCCCTTTTCTTATCAACGATAATGACGGTTATCCAGATAATTGCAACATTTTACATATGCTCGATAACAATGATCTTATATTTTAAAAGTCGTCTACTCTTGGTATCCCATTTCGGCCAGGTTCTACAAAACGTATAAAAGATGAATGAAATATTTAAAAATCTTATGAATCATGATGAACGAACTTTTACAAGAAACGGTGTTAGTTTCACTTTTATGACGAGCAGGCACGGAAGATGTACGTTTTTCGCATGTTTTGGAAACACAAGAAAATTTATCCTTTGTACTGGATCCCATGGATCTTCCACACTTTCCTCCTGTGCACACAACATTTTTTTCTGATGAGCGATCTGAAATTAATAATAGCACTAAATTAGAATATATCTCTAAATAACTTTTCTATTTGATATTCTTTATTTTTACAGTACATCGACATTGTCGAAATGCCCTATGGATACTCTCTCAAGAGGGACAATAAATAGTAGGATATAATAAATAGTACTATGTATTATTCATACGCTTTTTAGGACACGAAGGTATTTCGACTTTCTTTATCTTTATCGTACCGCAGGTGCGTGAAACCGTAGGAGAATTCGACGTGCAAATATTTCCAACGTCTGCTTCATGTAGCAAAAAGACCATATTATTTTCCGGGACGTTTTTACTCCTGGCACTTGAAGTGCATGCGCTTTTGCATGGTCGTTGCATTGGAGAATACCCTTGTGTTTGCGTAGTGCAAATAGAATGCACTCCATTTTTTCTGCCATTAGCATTTCCACTCCTTGGCATTGCATTAGCTGCTTTATGTGTAACTGATGTGGAGTTGTTCTTAATATTCCTGGGAGTACAGGGAACGGTTGGATCTCTTGATGCAAAAAAAAAACCATTAATCATTCTAATATTAGAATATGCAATTATAATACAAGGATATAATTATTTACGTGTACTCGTTGGCCGATGACATTTGACAGGGTCCGCACGGGGTGCAACAAGGTATTGGTGGACATCGAAGTACCTTAAGTGCTTCTACGTTAAGGGATGATACACCCCTTAAAAGGGCTCGTTGTATAGCATTTTCATATTCGGCACGTTCCTTCATTATCCTTTCATTTTCTTTGCGAAGCCTTGCTAACTCCGCTTCGAGCTGTTACATAAGATCGGTGTTACATCGACCTGATATTCTCGTTAGAAAACTTGATATTTCATTACGAGAAATCAGGATTGAATAGTTGAAAGGTGGAACGTAATTATGTAAATTTGAAATAAGTCCAATAAATATTCCTGAATGCCCATAAACGTTCGTTCGACGAATGACTCGATATTATCATAGCGGTTAATTATATGTATTATGGAAAATGTAATTATCATTTTCTCTTTACCTCAGATTCTCGCTTTGCTTTTGCTTGTTCTTTTCCAAGCTGACAAACTGTACCCAAAGAAACTGGAGATTCGCCAGGTACTTGATCTGGAGCTTCTGTTGTACCTCCTGGCGTATAAGAAATTATATGACTATTTGTTGTTCCTGGAGGTATCGATGATTGTGTAGGATCGAACGAAACAAGAGACGGCGGAGGTGCTACAGATACTTGAGTAGCTGGTGTCACTGTATTTGTATCAGTATAATCTTGTTGTTGAGTCTGAATCGATGTTTGCTGAGGACCATTAAGATGGACGGATCTCTGTTGCAGTGCCTGGAAAAATGTATATACTGCTTATAAAAGTTATGTAAGTAATATATTTATTTGAAAAACTATATGTCGACCTCCTTCAAGGATTTTTCACAGGCAATCTTGTTCGCCTCGCATTCAGATAATTGTGCCTTCAATTCTGCCAGCTCTCGTTCCTTTGCAGCAAGATCACAAGCACGGGCGATCAATTCCTTTCGCAAAGCTTCTAAATCTGATTTTGCTGCATCCAGTCTGTTTTGAACAATGCTGACCCAATGCTGAACGCGTGCCATTATGTCTACGAACATTAACTGTAATAGGAAATTAAAAATATTATTCGTCATATAGGTATTATGGTCGGTACAAAGGCCATTTGAAAATGGATTATACACGATTCATTTTTTTCCATTCATTTTATGATACTTGTAATACATAACGAACCTTTAAATCATGTTCAAAGTTTTCTCCCAAATTCGTTAGAGCTTTACCAGCTTCCTGAAGGTTTTGAACAACGTAGTCAATCATATCATCTACCTTTTTGTCGCTGTATTTTATAGAATTCACTATGATTATTTAGCACATATGTAATTGACGGTATATTTTATATTACAACTACTCAATGTGTCTCACCCTGTAGAGCCTGATGAAAATGATGCACAAAAGCAACATGGTCCACCGGAAGTTGTTACTTTCCCATCACCTCCGGCGGGTGCAGATTTCTCATGACTTGTAGTCGAGGAAGCTGACTCGGGTGAAGTTCTGCCAGTTTTGCTTTCAACTTCATCCTCTTTCTCATCTGCACCGCCAGCCATTCGTTCTTGATTCTCAATACTGCGGAAACTACTTTTCTGTCGAATTTTTTTAACCTTTTTGTCTAATTTATGACGACTGTCATCGACTTGATAATTTTCATCAATTCCTATGCCTATCGCGGAGGTATAAATTGGGATATACAAGAAATGTTATAAATTACGCTATTTGTAATGTGATAAAAGCATTACACTTACTAGTTTTGGAAATGCCGAGCGACGACTGCGGCATTTTGAAATAATTTTTAAGCTTTGCTTATCAAAAACTGTAATGAAACTTGTCTTGCATCACAAATTGCTCTATATAATTAACTTTTAATTGATTCTTTTTTTGGTTTACTCTAACGATTGATATCAAACCAATCCATAATACTTGTAAATTTTATTACTTTATCCTGCCTCTTTCCTCCTGTATCAAAATAGCCATGTCACAAAATGTATCGAAATTCGAGTAATTATATTGTTGTGGCTTTTTTTGCGATATCGATCAGTCATAAATGAAATTGGGTCTGAACATTGTTGCTTTGCGCCAGAGTTCATTCAATTCCGTCACTGTGAATTTGTCTTATAACGTCTAACAGAATTCTTAGGAACCATACAAACTCTTAACTGTATCAACTAGCGGAACTGTTCGAAACTACGGCATCGTCCTAGCATAGGCATGTGAAAAAATTGTTGGGAATCAATAATAGCTTCTTGTGACATTATCTGTAGCATATTCAAAAAGTGATGCAGTTTTTGTTCAATTATCCAAGCGAGGTTTCACTGTGCATTATGCGTTAAAATGGGCACTTCGATTGCCCATGACTACTTAAATTCGGCATTTACTTTTAAAACTTACAAGATTTTATAACGTACAGATCTCATTTTATTATAAGTTTCTGTTCTTAAAAAGTGATTAGCAAGTAACCACAGTCGCGTAAAAATCGAAGTATGATTATAAACTAATAATCGTGTTTACATCTTGTACCGATCGGAATAATACAAGTATAGTTTATTTATAAAATTAGATACATTTATAGAATTCCTTACGATAATTTGAACGTAAATTGTGAAATTATAGTTCCGTTTTCTTAAACTGCTCTGTCAATACATTAACACAAGAATCATTTGTAAAAGCACTCGTCAGCCAGCCATGTAACCATACAAAATTTAACATTTCAAAAAGTTTTCGTTACTAGGACCGATTGCTGAGCGCATTTTTACATTTGCAATTGGATTTCATGACCATGTTTCTTTAGAACAAATAATATATTTGTCTAATTGGAAGTGGCCTTTTTATAAATCTTATGTAAAGTAACTGTTATTTTATTCTCTAGTCATATTAAATGACTTAAATCCGATTTTCTGTGTATCACGTTCACAGAAATAAAACTGGAGTATAATACCGCTAACAGTTATCTATCAGAGAATGATCATGGAAAAATATGACTTTTTACCGTCCTATGAATTATCATATTTATTACAATTAAAAATTTAGCCAGACTTTTTAGCTGGTGGCCTAAATACGCCAACAACAACTGCATGGTCCCTCTCATATGGTTCCAGTGTGATCTGTTCTTGTGGCTTTAGTTTGTCTGCGATTAGCTTCTTCACTTCTGCCGTAAACACTGCTTCCGGCTGTGCCGTTGAGTCTATACAACTTGCCTAATACAGAAAGGAGACACGATACAGTACAATTTATATAGCATACCTAAATTCATTTAAATTACATTATATATAATTTACCTTAATGGAGATAACAAAGTGTCCACCATTCTTGAGGAAATATTGCGCGTTCAAGGCAACAATTCTTGCTTGATCAGGTTGCGCAACGTCTGCAAACACTGTATCCACCATGCCAACCAACATTCTATATTTATGGGGATGTCTGGCATCTTCGATTATGGGGATGATATTCGTTCGTTTTTTAGCCACATTAATAAGATCTCTTCCTGATCTGTGCGAGAATTCTACTGCATATACCAACCCTTCCTATAAAGAACAGAAAAAATTAGATCAACGTTCAATACAAGGCTTTTGAACTGCAAAGAACCATAAAAAGGATAATTAATAATTGTGTGACTTCTTCTTTTTGAATAGAATAATATTTTATACAATTAAGAAGTAGCACAGAGTTAATTTTGCATAACTTCGACACCAAGTTGGCAAGATTGAACTAACTTGGCTCTAATGTATGCCTGTTCTATTTAGTTTTTTTCATGACAAAAGTGTCTGATTATAAATTTATATTATATATAAAATAATGATACAAAATATATAAGGTAAGGTTCAAACTATTCTTACCGGTCCAACAACATCCGCCACATGCGATACTGTAGTTCCTGAGGCAGCTCCTAAGTATAATACTTTACTTCCAGGAGGCATATGAATCTGATCGACTCCACCAAGAATGGCAGCAGCGAGTTTGGATCTGAAGGGATTCCAAACTCTGTATTCAACTTTTTCACCATTTTCACCCTGAGAATAGAGTGCATATTAACATAAAGGACTATAAAAAGAAATTCACATTCTGTAATAAAATGAAGTATTACCTCGACGCTTATTCTTTTCTCTCCATATACTTCGGATCCAGGGACTAAATTTAATGTGACTAGAGCATCTTCTTTTCCCCTAGCAATGAATACTCCTTCGTGACGATGAGGTTCAATTATAACAGTCTTTCCTCCTTTGAAACCACCTCCACCTCGTCCTCCCCGGCCACCCCCACGACTTCCACCACGGCCTCCTCTAGGGGTTCCACCTCGACCTCCTCCAAAACCCCCTCCACCACCACGGCCACCAAACCCTCCACGACCGCCGCCTCCGCGACTACCTCCACGACCTCCACCGCGTCCTCCTCTAGGGGTTCCACCTCGACCTCCTCCGAAACCCCCTCCACCTCCACGACCACCAAAGCCTCCACCGCCACCTCCTCCAGCCGGTGAAAAACCTATAAATGAAACAAGTGAATGGTACAGTTATAGTTGTAATTTAAAAAGTATTATATTTCTTCATAAATAATAAAAAACAATTTTATTCAATTGCAGAAATGAGTGTATCTTAAATCATAAACTCACAAAATCATGAACACATTGATATAAGTAAATATGCCATTCATAACAATATCATACATGCATCTGTCAATCATTGATAATAAAAAATAGCTTAGAGTACTATATTATATAAAAAAATTTTATTTACACTTGAAATGACTTATATATTACATGGCATATATGGTCAAATAAGAAAGATACTTATTCATTAGTATGGATAACACAATTGAGCCAATCATTAAATACAAATTCACGTACATAACAAAACAAACAAAACGAATTATAAGTACAGTCAGAATTTTGAATAAAACGCGAAAAAATGAATATAATTTAAGGTTATCCGACAACGCGGCAAGAAACATTACATGCCGCCAAGCTTTAACACAGTGTTTACTTAATGCAGCTCCAGAGTTTAAAAAAAGGCTTATATTATAAATATTCGTACCTGGTTTACCCATTCTGAGTTTTATCGATGAAATATAATACAAAAAATGTTTAATACGATTTTCGTAAAACCGTCGTACACGTGCGCCGCAGACGCTGCATACACGAGGAAATCAGGAACGTCGCCAGATTTCTTTTCCGGTACTGTGAGGAATATCGATGCAGAACGATGCGAGACGATATATATCGATACAAAACCATATATATGTCGATATTACGATATAATACATATATCGATACATCGATTTCAATTCCGACTTTGGCAATATCCCACAATACATAGTATCGCCAAATTCAAAACATTTATTAAGATATTACTAAATAATAATAATTAATATAGTCAGGTCGCTCAATAGTGTATCCCTCAATAATTTTACCTCTGCATTGCGAACACATTTTTCTTAAAGTAACCTATTAATAACAGTGACTTAACCTTTTTTATTTCCCTAGCGATATTCTAAATAAAGTCACCAATGAGAAAGGATAATCCGCTTGAGTTACCAGGGTGTGAACGGTATGGGTAGAACATTCGAATCAAAAACATGAGTATGGTTCAAGTCTCCTCCGTCCAGGTGGCGCGTCGATGCCAAAATAAAATTGATTTCAAGAAAATGGGCTCACTAGCAATCTCCCTACTTATTTGTGGTAGATGAAACAGATTGAAATAATATAATAAACTTATAAATACTGACGATCAATAATTCTCAAAATAGTATCTATGCATATCCGATAGAATGCCTTAGTAAACTCATAATTACTCCAAGAACGTCTATAAGATTGAAGACTAATATCTTACACAAGTAGAAATACTTTTCTACGTTGTAATACCGATTTTGATGTTAAAGATAAGATATTCGGCGCCAGAATAATCAGAACTTCGTATAGCCGATATCCGTTCTCTATTGTGTGACCAAAATCTAGAATGCATGTACATACATTTGGAGAATTAATAGAAATCATATCAGCTGAGATAGTGATGGCATTCACATGTCTTCGTAAACGTAGTTGTTTTTATATAATATATTTTATATGTATAACCTTTCGCTTCGTTGAAACTATGCAAGGTATTCTAAAAGTAGCTACAAATTCCTCCCGTAGCAAATCTATAACATGTTAAATAATTAAACCGGTTTAAATTTAAGCAATGCATGACTCATATCCGTCAGAAATAAAGGAAATTATAATACAAGGTCATCGTAGGAGCACAACAGACTCAACCGTTATTTGGCCACATAATGAACCAATGTATAACGACGCAATATGAAATTCTTTAAGATGACATTCATTATCTTTTGAAACAAAAATTGGAAAATATTAAGGGCATATTCCGTAATTGAATCACGTTTGCTGTTATTACATTTCACCTAATTGCATCGATTGATTTCGACTGGTGACAAAAATTAATCGATGTAGCTGAAATTTAATAATCGCAATCGTGGTTCGATTACGGAATATACGCCTTAAGCATATATTGTACATGGCGTAGAATTTTGGTGATAAACTTCACAGACGCCCCACTTAGGGATCAATCAACATTTTTTTGTTATCATAAGACTGATTCATATAGGAATGACTGTTGAAATATGAGAATCGCAAATGTTTAAAAGTTTTCTAGATTATACTGAAGCAAATTGACGGTTGACGTTGAAAGGCGTCTGATAAACGAGTTTGAACAGGACGAAGCCGATTCCATGGCACCATTGACTGTTCTTTATACTTCTCGGCGCTTGGTTCTCGGTAGAGCTATGAATGAGTCTGCTGTAGATAATTCGACGTGTGAGAGGAGAAATAAGAGAGGCCATGACTATGGGAATGGAATGCAGTTGGGGGGGCCGGCCAGGCAAGCTATAGTCTACACGCGGTATACCGGTTGAGCGAGTTACGTTTTTACGTTGTTAAAAAAAAGGGGCTTGGAATGCCAAGGCTCTTTAAGGGCATCACGTAACCTTCGCTCCATGAAACTCTTCCCAACACGAAGTTTATAAGAGCGCCAGTAAATACATATATAATATGCTATAAAAATGACCGTGTTGGAGGAAATGGTCCCCATTTTTAGATGATGATTATACAGTTTATTTTTTCGTTCTCTTACGCCAGTCTTATTATTAGAATATGATTTTAGGAAATATGTAAAAGATAGAAGTAACGTAGACGTAATTTATTTAGGTTTCTTTATTTTAGACATGTTTAATTTTATATTAAAAAATATTCACAGAAAAAATAAATCTTGTGCATGATATTGTTGACAGTATTATTATACGTACGTTTCATTCATAACTGTGCATGGAATTATAAAATAAAATCAGTCCGCGCGAAGGTAAATTATTTAGTTATAATTTTTAGGTGATGTTAAAAGTCTATTAGGGACCTACAAGAGATGACGTGATTGTATCATCCTCATGTAACTCACAGTTAACATTTTGATTTACATGGTATTAGCTCATACAGGAAAGTATTGTTGAATTATAATATTGAACGATAAGTTTGAGAGTCAAACAGCATACAAAAATGTATGGATATAGTATATGAATTTTGAACTCAATTATTATAACCTATTAATATATGGTACTATCAAATGAAATACGCATTTAGTCTTTTTTTATACATCCTAAAACATACTTTATAGGCTTTTCCTTTAAAAATATTCTTGCATTATCTCAATGTTTAATTTTAGTAAATATAACTAGATGATAAATAGTAACTATTAGAGTGCGAAGTTGATAATTAGTTTATAAAAATTGGTGGGATTAATAATACGTTTGTTAACATTATTTGTAGCAAGTACGATACCCCAATTAGAATAACAACCAAAAATTATAATTGCCCTCTAAAACTATTGTGTATATGTTTATATTATTCAACAAATTCAGAAATCATATAATTCAGAGGGTTCAAACAATGTGATCGCTTGAGTGATATAAACGTGCAGATACGAAACACAATTTTATATAAGAGAATATCGAAATATAAGAAATAGTATACTGAGGGAGTCAGGATAGAATTTTTGTACAGAGTTTTTCATACGAAATGTATTATCTTGGATCACTTTATTTGCCTCATTCTGTACATATTTATAATATATTCAAGCAAGTAAACAATAGTTTGACGTTAATACTGTACTGAATAAATTTTTCAATTTATTCCAATGTGTTGTGCTACTTGAATAATTAAGTTTTTTATGTTCTCTTTGGAATGAGCAAATGAATTCAGTTTCAAAAACAAAAATTTTTTCAAAATATGAATATGCTCTGTATCTTACTGGAAAATGATATATTCTGAATTTATTATTGAAACAAATTAAGTTCAGTTCTTGTGAAACCAGAACAAATAAATTATTTTGAAGATAATGAAATATTAATTTGGACGTCGATGTGCCACGTCAAATAAATTTAAAATGTTTTTCTGCTAGCTATATATATCTATGTATGTATGTATTTTACGGATATAATTACAAGTTTTATAGTGCAATTCAGTTCTAGACTATCGAACTATGTAGTTAATGTAAATGTACATAAACCATTTAACCCTAAAATAGAACTGTCATGATTGTTATGAGCGATTTATCAAAATTATAATGACTCAACCTTCAAGATGAACGAAAGTTAAGAAAATAAAAATATATTATGAAAATTTATTAGTTGATGAGATCGTATGAAAAATTGTTCCGAATTCGTGCGAAAACAGTAATCAGAAATAACACTGCTTTCGCATTTTCACATCGTAGTATCAAATTTCACTGGTTATAACGGGAAACAACTTATCTTTGTTTTTATGTAATTGTCCGGTAATATACCTATTGTTCACCCATTTACAAAAAAATATTTTAATAATCACAGAAACTACTTAAAAAAAAATAGAAAATATTGACGAAAGATACTTACACCAGATACATTTTAAAAAAGCTCTTCTCTTCATGCTCATGGAAATAAAGAATTCATTATTTTCAGTCCAACAAAAATGATTCTCCTCTGTATTTCCTCCTCAATTTCTATCATCTAACTTTATGTGTAAACTGCAAATGACTAGACATCATGTTATACTATTTGTTTGTTCATTACCTTTCTAGTCCTTCTTTTTTCTTATTATATTACACATTGAATGGGAAGTGCCCTGAGCACGTTTTGAAAGTATGTAGATGGACAAACAGCAGTGCAGTTGCAGGCACTATCTTGGCTTCACAAGTATGACGAATGTACAATGGATGGGAAAGAATCTCTTGAAAGTAACAGTGAAAGTGCTAGTGAATGTAGATCTTGACATTTAGTACCTGCCAACTTGTATGTAACATGAGTCATGTCATATCAGCATTATATTTAAATCATTTTTGTAACCGACTGTACATGGTGTTATGCCAAAAGCTTACAATAAGATAGCGAACACCTCATATATAATATATGCAGTGCAATTTCTTCAATGAAAGCGGCTGTACACCATAAAGTATGAAATACTATGAGAGAAAAGCTGGCACTGTCATAACATTCACTCCTGGTATATAACATGTAATGTCCTGCCAGGTGCGCACTTAAGACAAGTAACCGTATGTCCTTAGAATAAAAACAGCACATGTGTTTGCATTGTTACAATTTATATAGGGTCAATTCCAATCCTCTTGAAATCACGGAATGTTGGGTACTAAGAAACGAAAGCGCGAACTGCCATGGCAACTGATTTACGGCATACAGCGCAGGATGTCATGCCAGGTGCACACTTAACGCAAGCAACCATATGACCACACGGTAGAAATACCACGCCCAATTCTTCATTGTAACATATTTTGCACATTCTCGCATCATCAATGGCTTCGTTATGTGATGCCTTTAAAACTGCTCCTTCTTTCGGACTGCTACCTTCTGATTCTAAGCTGCTACATCCACTGTCGGAAGGATTACTTTGGCTGGATTGGCTTGGACCTGGATTACTTTGGGTCGCGAACCTCTGAAACAGTTGAAATAAATAAATGAATGACTGACTGTATAATGACAAAAGTAATAGATGAGTGAAGAATTAGGACTTTTCTCATTACAAGGAGTAATGCGTGTAAACTATATATATATATAAATAAAAAAAAAAAAAATGGAAATATACCTTTGTCGATGCCTCTGTAGATTCTGCTGCTTCTGCTGATTCTAGTGTTGGAGCTGATGCTTTTGCAGTTTCTGCCGTTGTCACTTCAGGCTGAATGAATTAATAAACAAAAATTAGTTAAAAATTCAATAAATGGAAAATTGGTGTCATAAATATAAATTTCATTTTCAAGTAGAAACTCTAGTGGTACTAACCATTCTCATGTAACTTGGAAGATTCATCTGCATTGCCTCCTCTCTCGATGGAGGTGGCATATGTAGTCCTGTGACATTGTTGATGTAATCCTGTCCTTTTACTAGGAGCAGGTAATAGCACTTTGAGAACCACTTAGCATGCTGTTCCCATGGATCATCTTCAGGTTCCCAATCTTTGAGACCTCCACCACAGTGGTAACACAATGTCTGATCACCTTTGCCAGTATAGAAAAATCCTGCATTAGCCAACTCTTCCTTACTATGTGGCATGCATTTAGGCCATGAATCAAACGATTTTAGCCTTGCATCGTAGCTAACGTATTCTGGATATGCAGGTGCCTTTGATTTCCCTATACCAAGACTACCTAGTTTGGCCGAACTTGGGAGTTTAAGATCTGATGGCCCAGGAAACGTATCTGGACCCGATTGTAGTCGACATTCAATACCATAGGGGCCACATACATCTCGACTTCTTGGTGCAGGTGGAGGGATAGAAGCAGCATCTACGCCAATAGGTACATTACCACATGGAATTTTCCGGATAAACCTACACCTTGCTGACCACCTCTGATGATCAACCATGGGATTGTCTCCTTCTACCCACTGACATATTTCAACGTGGCATTCAAAGCACTTGACTTTGTCACCTTCTCCTGTATAGTAAAATCCAGCTTGGGCTAACTTGACAGGATCCATATAATCCAATGGCCAATTTCTGTAGCTGCGTAATCTTGCTTCTTCAAAGCGATAATCATTGCCATCAACTATATCCCTTGAATGAGGTGGTGGTTGGATAGGAGGTGATGGTATACGACCAGGTGGTTTATATGACAATAAGTTCCCATGATGGTTACGAGAGAATAAACAGTCCATATCTTCGAATTTCCGTTTCACTGCTTTAGTTCTATTTCTTTTTAAACTGATGTATAGAGCGTCTGTAAATAAAGAAATAAGACATTACTATTTACTGTACTTCCAATTAAATCTATGAAACAAAAAATTAAAAGATATCTCGCTTATCACTCCTTGAAAAATGATTCAAGAATTAAATGTCAGTCAATTGAAAATACCCTTTGACATTGTTGATCATCTACATAAATCATTCTCTTTAGACATATCTTGCACAAGATGCTATTGGTACAGCGTCAAATCAAAAATATTATAAATAAGTTTGTATTTATGAAACCCTGATACGAGATGGCCCTCTACCCACACACAATAATATCACTGGCAGCATAGCACGGCGCAATACATAGGGCCAAAACAAATGCTGATAGGAACGATAAAAAGATTTGCGCTCAGAGTCACGTACACGATATTTTTTCGCATTGGAAAACACACCTATCGTAGTTATCTCGTATCGCGTCGCGAATGGACGGAACACTACTGGAACTTAAAGCCCGTTGGGGAAATCGATGTGTTCAATGAAAGGACTAAAACCGGAAGGTTGCCATATTGCTGGCTCAGCAACCAGAGGATGGTCTCCGTTTCGAAGTTAAACAGCTGTGATATACAGCAGCGCGTTCCTGGATCGTGACCGTCCAACGTTGCCGGTTCGATCACAAAGTCGACTCGCATTACATGTTCTTTTACTGCATGCACAGAGTCTCTACCCACCATACCCACGCTTCCCAGGGTACCTACGGCTATGCGGCTGATCCTTAGGTAAAAGCAGAGGCAAAGCAACTACGCATTCCTTTTCTATGCCGCCTCCTTTTCCCAATTTCTTACATCTGCGCAAAAAATATGTATGCGACGTTCTCTCCTGCGATTAAGGATCTCCAGAAAATATCTCTTTCATTTCACTAAATATAATTACGCTCATCCCTTTGTAAAAAGAAGAGTATATCTTACTAATATAATTTACAAATACATTCAGTTTTCTGTTAAAGCTTCCTGTCAGTATGTTCTTCCTTCAAGGTAATGTTTAAAGTATGCTGATTCGAGAATGTGGATATAAATTTTGAATTGGATTTAAGAAAATTCTGAGTATTCAGTGCTTGTATGCACAATTACATTGTCTTTTTATTTTCAAGAATAGTCACTAACGTGACTAATCTTCCTTTGAACTTTCACATCTGTATTTTTCCTCGTAACTCTGGCAACATTGTAGGAGAGTGTACAAGCTGAGTATGCGTACAAGAGAGAGAAACAAAACAGTAAGAACAGGAACGTTCAAGCGAGACAGGAAGATATCGCTGAATATCTACAAAGGCCGTTCTTTGTACCATGGGTGGGACAAAAAATAATCTACAGCCGCAAAACGATAATTTTCTGCCCCTTCTTTCCCAATTTTTGTCAATATCAAAAACATATCTATATCCATAAGACTATAAAATATTCTATCGCGTAGCACAAGTTTTATTTGCAATACGATATCAATTAACACCCCTTGTATCTTTAGACATCATTCCTTGAACCTCAATCTTATTGATCGCCTTTGCTAGATAAACACAGTCGAAAAATCAACTTCACAATATTATATCGTCAGATCCGATAACCACGAGGCACGTTAAATTATTACCGCCTGAACTTAACTTTGAACAATTAACAAGAGTAGGACACGAACCAGTATTAATTGGACAGCAGTTACACAATCCGTATATTTTATTCCAACTTTTAGCGCAGTTATGTTCCACTTCGTCTAACTTGTATTTGAGTTCCTTTCCGTCGACACAAATCTATCCAAAAACCTCACTCAGTACACTGTTACGACTCGACCGAATAGTTTCTAGCATGCAACACACCATACTGCTTCGACTCTATCGAGACTCCCTCTTTACTTCGTTCTGCTTGGCTGTTAACGGTGCGCGTCACCGCTGTGAAATCTCGTTATATATGCAACCCACAGATAACCCTGACAAACTATAACGCATGAACAAATGGGGAAAATAATTTATGGAAAATTAAAGCAACGTATAAGGCTATTTAGGACGAACTTACCGATTGAAGTTTTCTCGACCATTTGTTTTTTTATAAACGAATCAACTTCAGTTAGTACGTTGGCACCATGAAAAATGCGAGTACGCGTGAAAAGTTTTATTGCGTACAAATCAAGATTGGATAAAGAGATAGAGAGATGACAAAAAGATGTTTATGCCTGTTTGAACTTTGATAGGATTAATGCTGCTAACAAATATGAATCAGCTTATATCCGTCTGCTACAAAAAAGACTATAGTACTGGAGAAATTGTGAGAAAAATGGTGATTCGATATAGTCTATTCGATTTCTGGAATGCAAGTTTTCAAGGATTCTAGTTGTAAAGTTTGTATGCAATCGCGTAACTGATTTATTTGAGAATGCATCATGACACTTCCTAGAACTTATGGACGTAAACGTATTTGACTATGACGTCATGTGCTCATTTCTAAATGGCAGGCTATGGTTCTTTTAGAGGATGAACGCATATATAGTCCTTGAAATATTACTTAGCCTGCCGAAATAAAAAAGAAACAACTGATTATATGACTGAATGACTGTCAGGTTATGGTGTATGTTAAATCATTATGGTTTGGAATAATTAATCTGTAGTGTCTGTACTGAACTGATTCATCAGTATTAGAGAGCGGAAGTGTTTCCTTTTGAAAATGATTGAAACGATGAAGTGGAACTTGCACTTAACTTATTTATCATTTGCTTATCGTTTAGTCAGCATTTGTTTAAGTTTCCCGGAAAGACTTATCGTGGCAAAGTCCCCTCATTTGTTACCATCATTTTTTAGTAATGACTCACATTTCTTTAATTTTGCGGTTTCCGTCAAATATTAATTTTTCTGTTTTTATATATTGGTTTGCATATGTTGTAAACTTTGCCATCTTTATTTATTCATGGCAGAGATAACATTAAAAGATTTACAGTGCCGTTTCTAAGAACTCGTGAAAGTGATAAAGAACGATTTGAATTCTGATTAACTCTACTATCCTTCATATTTATCTAATCCGCGTCATGAAAGGCGATGAGCCAGTTCATTAAAACAGTGCTGTTATATACCAATGACAGCTAAAATGTGCGTTAAATATAATATTGTATTTTCTGGAATGTTACCTACATAATGCACTTACATTAAATTTATATTTTTCTCGTGATGTTATCATGAAATTACTAAATTTCATCAACATAATTTCAATATACTAATAATAAAAAGGGTACAATTTTTAAATGTTTACGATTGTAGTTGATCACTTTTTGACATTACAGCTCGAAATATTCAAATGCGTTTTAGAAACATGCCTGAAACATAAATCTGCTTGTTAGGTTTCAGAAACGTTCCTAAAACGAATCTCAATGTTTTAGGCTGTATAGGTAAAAAGTTGCAATAAATCTGAAAATATTTGAAATTCAATAGATTGAGTTAATTTGAATTTCCCAAAAAATAAAAACTGCTATCATTATTATACTGGAATATCAAAATGCATGGCGTCCCACATAGCGCCACGACGAAACAGAACACGTGTTTCAATATATCTATATTTATTAAAAGAACACGTATGTACTACATAAGCTTTTCATTCCGTCGTTCCGCACCATGGAATAGCACCCTGATCACGTAACAGTAATTAAAATCGTAATAAATAACATCAGCAATGACACGCATAAACATCACAAATTTTCTCAATAATTATAAGATATAAATGACATTTAATGAACTTATAATAATTATCATCTACGGTATCATCGAATGACTTTTGAGATTAATACTCTAGCTATACTCATAATGTACGAAAATATATGTATTTAAAAAAATATACCTATACTTACTTGTTGCGTACACTGTCAACTGTTACTGTCGTTCTGGCGATTGCTTAGAAGGATGTACTATTAAATGTGACTGGTTTGCTGTTGATATCGACTGGTGGGGCTTTATATTATGAACCAATTCGAGAATCTTTAATGTTTGTTCATTGTAAGCGATCGCGATTAGCTGATTCCGATCTTGCAATATAAATTCGTAAAAATATATCGGTCAATCAATTCCAGAAATCATTGAATGTTAATTTTAAAACTCTTATGAATTATGTTCTATGCAACAACGGTTTTTTAAACACAAAATTCCCAAATACAGACAACAAAATTTAAGATTTTTAAATATAAATTCCACTGAGTAAAGAACTTTACCACAAATATCTATGATGAGATCATTACGTATAAGCATTTACAAGTAACACTTACGGAATGATAATAGAATTTATTATTTGAACACTATTTATGGGAAGTAGGTTGCAATTACATTTTTTAATAATAATAGTTCTGTTTCTCATTGGCAGATATAATTTCGTGATATCTTATCTTCTTGATCAAGTGATAGATTGTTTAGTACTACTACTAATCCAAGAATTATACACTCACACATGTTGCAAGTGAACATGAAATAGTATATATAATAATAATAAAATATTATAAATGTAATAACCGATTACACCCGTGCATCGCGTGGGTGCACCGCAGCCAATGATATCGATTGATTTTTGTCAGCAGTCGAAATTAATCGATGCAATTGGCTGAAATTGAATAGCCGCGACCGTGATTCAATTACGGAATATGCCCTTAGTAGGTGCTTACATTTTAAGAAGAAGCCTTTCCCAAAAATTGAACTTTCTAGGTCTAGTGGTTTAGGTTGGGCATCAATTATCTCTATGTCAGTGAGTCAGGATTTATTATACACAGAGATAATACTAGCATACAGCTGTTAGCCTTTATATTGTACTGATTATCGACTAAAAAACATGAAAATGAAAAAACTGCACAAATAGCGTATGAAATCTTGATTGCGTCAACGTTAGATTAAGAACAACCAATCCCAGAATAAATTGATTTGTTCCAATGAAATCCTTAAAATTCTGCTAAGTGCACTATCTGATAAGAAACTTTAAGCTGATTCGCAGTAGAAATATTCAGTTTAAGAGTGTAGTTAACAGTTTAGTTTGTATTAATCATTGATAAAACGATTCACCGCTTCTATTACTCATGATTTTCATAACTTGAAATCTAAGATGGTCGTACTTCCGTCCACAATTTAGAAGTGCCAACTGAAGCCAGAAGATGGCCGGCGGAAGTTTCCAAGCCCCTTGAAGATAGGCAACACGTAATACCAGAGAGAGAGAGAGATCACGTCAGAGTCGAAAACTAGCACATTTCTGCGCATGCGGAAGACATATGGATAGTATGGAAGGAAGGACAGAGTTTAAGCCATAGGGTGCGTTACGTGATAGTATCATTAAAATCAGCTAGAATACTGTTTCGTAGACTCGTGGAAATTTACTGAGGCTTTAAGCTAAAGTTGGAACAAAAAGAAACTTTCGTACAATTTAAGCAAAGTGATACATAACGGCGCTACAAATTTGACTAAAATCGCCGCATTGTGGGACTGCCATTCAACTGCTACTGGTTTGTGTTTTTGTTAAACTTGATTGTTCAACGTGAATTCACGTGACAACAATTTATTTATTTTGTTTTTATTTAGTAAAGATATCAGTACGAATGAGATTTAAGGAACGATGTTTTGAGATACAAGGGATTTTAATTGATATTATATCGCAAATGAAATTGATGGTACAAGATAACATAATGTATAGTCTTATGGGTGTGTATGTTTTTAAAGGGATAGGAAATACAGAAAAGAACAACACAATTATTGCTTTGCGTATAAAGAGAGGCCTTTGTACAATTGAACGATATTTTCCTGTCTCTCTTACTCCTTGCCGTTCTCACTATTTTGTTTCTCTCTTTTATACGTATATTCAGCTTGTACACTTTCCTACACTGTTGCCAGCTTGGCCAGGAAAAAACAGATGTGAAAGTTCAAAAGAAGATTAGTCACGTTAGTACAATATAAAATTTTTAAGAAGAAAATTATAAAAATATATTGTACATATGAGTTGTTAGCTCAGAGTACAAGTTAAATGCACAACAATGTCTAATAAAAACTAATTTTCTTAAAGCCAATCGAAAATTTGCATCCACATTGTTGCATGACCATACTTAAATATTACCTTGAATGGAGAAAATATAGTGGCTTTAGAGAAACACTGAATATGTTCTCTTTAAGTGATAGATAATCGTAAAATAGAGTCTTCTCTTTTTAGAGTAGTATGCGTAGTTTAATGGAATGGAATAGAATAAATATTCTCTGAAGTCCCCCATAACTCGAGGGAAATATGACGTACAAATTTTCTCACAGATGTACATAAGGACGCGGGATTAAGCAGCAAAGAATAGGAATTCGTAATTCCCTAGCTTTGACTTTTACTTGAATATCAGTCGTATAGGCGTAGGTGCGCTCTGGGTGCCGTGGGTATGGTGAGTACAGACTTGGTGCATGCAATAAAAAAAACATGGAATGCGAGTCGACTTTGTGATCTAACCGGCAACGTTGGACGACCGCGATACAAGAACGCACTGTATAACAGCTGTTAACTACGAGCCAGAGTCCATCCTCGGGTTGCTGAGCCAACAATATGGCAACCTTCCGGTTATATTCCTTTCATTGAGCAGATCGATTTTATGAACGGGCTTTCGACTCTAATGTCGCATCCATTCGCGACGCGATTCGAGATAACGTGTAGATTTGTTTTCTATTGCGTTTAAAAGAATCGCGTACGTTGCTCTGAGTAAGAATCTTTTTATCGTGTTAACATTTGTTTTCGCCACATACGCTGAGCCGTGTTATACTTCTGATGATAGTACGTGGATAGGACACCCGATCGTATGAGTGTTTTATGAATAAAAACTGTATATAATTTTACGCTGTCCATTAGCATCTGATGCAAAAAGTTTGTAGAGAGATGACCTAACTGGTCAGCTATGAAAAAGGGTAATTTTAAGTTACTAACATTTTATTGATTCTTGAGAATGATTGTTTCAAAGAATGATAAGCTAGATGTCTTTTTTGTTTCATTGTTTCTATTGAAAATATACTGAGCAATAATGTCTTATTTTTCTATTTGCAGATGCTGTGTATATTAATAGTTTAAAAAAAAATAATAAAGCGGTAAAACGAAAATTGGACAATATGGATTGTATCATTTCGCCCAGCCCACGTAGAAATTTAATGCAGTACAAGTCTCCTGAACATTTGGCACCACCTCCTATGCTGCTACCACTTCATTCACATGATGTAGTCGATGGAAATGACTATCATTTTGAAGAAGCAAGATTACGCAGTTACAGAAATTGGCCATTGGATTATATGGATCCTGCAATACTAGCCAGAGCTGGATTTTTCTATACAGGAGAGGGTGACAAAGTCACATGCTTTGAATGTCATGTTAAGATATGTCAATGGGTAGAAGGAGACAATCCTATGGTTGATCACCAGAGGTGGTCTGCAAGGTGTCGATTTATTAGGAAGATTCCTTGTGGAAATGTACCGATTGGAATAGATCCTTCTGCTATACCTCCACCTGCGCCAAGAAGTCGAGATGTATGTGGTCCTTACGGTATTGAATGTAGATTACAATCAGGCCCGGATACGCTTTCAGATCCGTCAGATTTTAAACTTACAAGTTCTGCTAAACTAGGTAGTCTTGGTATAGGCAAATCAAAGGCACCTGCATATCCAGAATATGTTAGCTATGATGCAAGGCTAAGATCGTTTGATTCGTGGCCTAAATGCATGCCACATAGTAAGGAAGAGTTGGCTAACGCAGGATTTTATTACACTGGGAAAGGTGATCAGACACTGTGTTATCATTGTGGCAGAGGGCTCAAAGATTGGGAGCCTGAAGATAATCCGTGGGAGCAGCACGCAAAATGGTTTTCAAAATGTTACTACTTACTTCTAGTAAAAGGACAAGATTATATCAACAGTATTACAGGATTACAAATGTCCTCTCCGTCCAAAGAGGTAACTTTATTGAATACTTTTAATTATATAAATAGCTTGGTTATATATGTGCTCCCTAGAAATCGTTGCATTTAACTGAAACTTTTTATATTACAGGAGGCAATGCATATGAACCTTCCAAATTGCATTAGCATGGTTAGTTTCAAGTAATTCTTTACTTGAAAAAACTTCAATTTTCGTCCTTATGAAGAGTATGACGAATTAATTTGTGTATTGTAATTCTTTTAGCCTGAAGCGTCAACTGAAGCTATTGCAGAAACAACATCAGTGGCAGCAACAAAATCATCAGAAACTTTAGAAGAATCGGCAACGGTATAATTTCAAATGTTTTCTGTAGCTTATTTATATTGACTTTTGTAATAAGTACAAACACAAATCCAAATTTATCATATAATAATAATAATTTTCGTTATTACATCTTTAGTAATTCGATTTTCTACTTCAGTTGTTTCAGAGCACTGTGGTCGAAAGTAATCCGGGTCCAAGCCAATCGAGTCAAAGTAGTCCTTTGGACAGTGGATTTACCAGCCTAGAATTACAAGGTAGTAGTCCGAAAGATGGAGCAGTTATAAAATCGTCACAACGCAAATCAACTGTTGACGCAAGAATATGTAAAATATGTTATAATGAAGAATTAGGCGTGATATTTCTACCTTGTGGACATATAGTTGCTTGCGTTAAGTGTGCACCGGGTATGACATTTTGTGCAGTATGCCGCAAATCAATCGCTATGTCAGTGCGTGTTTTCGTTTCTTAGTACTCATATACTGTGTTTTCAAAAGATCTGAGTGTAGCGTGATGTAGCTACATTGCAACGATACATATGGCGTTTTCATTGTACAGGACACACGGTTACTTGTCCTAAGTACACACTTGACAGAACATTTTGTGGTGTATGTCAAAAGTGAATCGTTATGACAGTGCCAGCCTTTTTCTCACAGTTTTTCATATTGTATCGCGTACAGACTGTTTCAATGAAGAAATTGCACTGCATATGAAGTGTTCGCCACCATATTGCAAAATTCTTAGCAAAACACTGTGTATAGTTAGTTACAAAAATATATATATAATGCTGACATGACATGACTCATGTTATGCAGAAGTTTGCAGGTACTAAGTATGTATCTGGATCTAACAATTATACTTTAAAGTCAGTGCTTACAGTTATATGTACAGTATGGATGTTATTTTCAAATGTCTTGCATTAATTCTATATTGAGGACTATGATGCAAAGTTAGTGCTTGCACCTGTGTATTGCTATTTGTACATAGGCTTCAAAATTTGCTCAAGGCATTTCCCCTTCGAATAACAAAAAAAATATTGGAACAAAAAAGATATTTATTAATGCAAATAGCAGTATAACATGATGTCTAGTCATTGGACAGTATTACACACAGAGTGAGACAAAGGGAATTATGGAAATATAAAGAAGAATCATTCTCGTATGATTGAAAATCATTGATTCTTTATCTTCAATATGAGAAGTGCTTTTTTAAAATATATCTTCTGTAAGTACCTTTCGTTAACATGTTTCTATTTTCAAGTAGTTTCTTGTAAATAGGCGAACAATTTATAACTGGACAATTACATGAGAACAAAAAACATAAGTTGCATGCTGTTTTAACCAGTGATTTGTTATGTGAACTGTGTTGAGGGTAAAATATTGTTGAAACTAATAGTAAATTCGAAAATGTCGATATACAATAATCAGAGGTTGAATTTTAATTCAACGTCGATTGCAAACATATTTACGTGAAAATTACGTGAATGTTCAAGAACTATGTTCTTTTTAGACCGACTGGATTGGGAACAATTTTTCATACGATATCATCAAATGTAATTGGGAAGGTTTGTGTAAAGTTGTAGAATTCGATAGATTCTAGAAATGAATTTCATCAAAATCTATTTATGTATTTGCACGATAGATAATAGAAACATGTTTTAAATTTATTTGACGTGACAAATAAGAGCCAGTCAACTATAATTTCGTTCCATAATAAATCAGAATTCATGTTTCCTCAGCAGAGGGACAAAATATATTATTGCCCGAGAAATGTTGGATTTTGAAATTACATTTTACTTTTTCTAACGGAAAATTACGATAATGATATTTATTTAAATAGCGCAAGTGCATAGGGAAAATGGAAGAATCTAATCAATGCAGTATTAACGTCGAACAATCGTTTAGTTGCTTATAATTATCATATAAATATGTACAGATTGAGGCAAATAAAGTAATACAAGGGAATAAATTTTGTATGAAAAATTTTCTACGTATATTCATTGTTAATTTCATTCGAAGGTACCGTTGTAATAGCAAAATAGTAAACTTATATAGTCTACATATTCTTTTTTCTGTTCCATTCTGTAAATCAATACTCAAATTTATATTTACATGCAACAGCGAACTTATATAGTTACGTAGCAGCCTCAGATTCTGATATTATAATCTTTTATCCAGTGGACGTCACTTTCGTCTATGGTGGTTTGACGGTAATTTTATCAACACGTTTTTGTTTTAATTGACACATCTGATATTAGAGTAGTTTTACATTTTTTACGGTATCTGGATTGGGGAAAATAAATTACTTAAATCATGCACGTTCTCCATTCGAAGACTTCTATATTCATGTACATTGTTAGTCAACATTGAATAGTAATATCATTCACATATATATATGTCTATATTTAACAGAATAAATTAGTATAGGCTCACAAAAAATAAATAGTGCATATTAGGGTTCGTTAGTACATTATAATATAACACGTGAATAAGGTCTCTTATAACTATGGAAAACAGATTTAAATAATTTTTAGTATACCGTGTCAGCCCTGACTCTGTCTTGTAGATAAAATACTTAAGCTCTATGACACTTGTCTTTTGTAGAGGATTTACACGTAATTTGTAATATCATAAACGTACATTCTACAGCTAATGTATCATGTTCCTAGATTGGTTAAAGATTTATTCGACAGCAATACATTGCGAAGGCTAACTTTTTCCTTTTGATAACTTACAGGTGGAACACAAGTGACAGTATTGAGATATTTCTTTCAAATGGTAGTTAGCTCATGTAATTATTTAGTATTATTTGATATTTGATTGGAAACACATTTGTTTTAAATGAAGAATCTTAGTATACTCTTTTGAAGATATATAGTCATTTGAGTTTGCAACATAGATACATAGAATTTCTCACATTTTCAGCAGTCTTGTATTTAAGGGATCACATTATGCAAATATTACGAGTGCAGTTGTGAAAACAGTGTCACGAATTAATGATAAACCTGGATGAAAATTCCATTTTAAATACAAATGTATCGAATGTTGACTGTTCTTCGCGTTTTCTCAATAGTTAAATATTACTCATATTGATTATCTTGAATATCAATTTTGCAATATATAATTTTCAGTACGGTATGTGTATAATAATGGATATTACGTGTAATACGAAATCTTCAGACAATAAAGGAAAGCACTTTGATCTGGACGCAGGAAATATATAATGTTAGTATAAAAGAACAAGCAGCACAACATACACTTGTTTTGTCATTTATCATCGGTCAATCATTTTTCTTGTTGACAAATTTTATTCCATTATTCTTTAGTGAGTGATGGATATTAATGCATATATAATTTTTTCTGGTAGATCAGTTAATTGATCAAACAACATTGAATTCATCAATTTAACGTTTATCTATCTATGCAATCCTCTATTGATAAAAGCAACTACTTAGTTCAGGACTCCAATTCTAATGGCCGCGTTCCATCCAGGAAGCACGACTGATGTGTTTTTTCATGAAAACCGTAATAAGTATTGCATAATAATATATCTCAATAAAAAGATCATCCTTGAGATTGAACGAAATCAATTCGGTGTGAATTTTTAAAATAATTTAAAAATTATTGTTAAATTTCAAGCTAAGAAAGTACGAACGGTGGCTCGTATTTCTTGTCTGCACATTGGACAATGAGTAAGGGATGGAGCACAGTGTACGCAGGTTGCAAGATGCCCACATGGTAAGAAAACTACTGCAACTTCTCGATCCATGCATATTTTACACAAACGAGCTTCCTTCAGTCTCCTGTTCTCCTCTTGCAGCGACGCTGGAAAATCATATATTAATCTATTATCATTTTATAATACGGGATTATCGTTAAAAAATCTGAATGACTTTTTAAAATACTTCCTATCAATGTGTTATGAGAATTACTTTTTACATCGAGCTTAGATAAAGAACTGATATAAGGCTCGAGTAATTATTTGCTGTAATAAAAATTAAAAATTCTGTTGCGTGTAATAGATTGCATTAAATGTGCAATTGTTTGCAGTAAACAATATCAAGGTCACATTCTGTAAATTATGATTAATTGTATATTGAAAAATCAAAATCTCTAATTGGAAATGATAATTATATGGAAAAATATATGTAAACATTTTATAGTTGATTTTACTTACATGATTCATCATCATCTTTTAAATTCTTCTTCTTGTCAGTAATTTTCTTTGCATCCGCATCATCCTTAGTTTCTTTATTTATGACTAAGTTAGCACCTTGTTTTGTATTATCTTTAACAGTATCTACGGTCATGACAACATTGTCAGGTTGATTTCTTTGCATCTGTGAACTGCGCGATGATTCCGCATTTATTATACTGCTTAATAAATTAGTCAATTCACTCGACGGTGAATCAGGTGTATGGCTCTCGGTACTAAAAAATAAGAAATTTCCATAATCAAGTATTATGACGCTGTCCCTAATCTTTATAGAAATATTTCTGCTCACGTACCTAATGTTATCATCTTCTCTACACTGTATATGCAGCACGTCTTCAATAAGCTGATCTGGATTCGTATACGGCACCCCGTATGTTTCCATTCTTTTTTTAAGTGCTCTTTTCACTCTTCCTACATGTAATCCAACTTCTAAAGCTGCCTGAAATGAATAAACGCGAAATATAACGTTGTACTTCGATGAAATATTATGTTATTTTATGCTTCCTGATATAATGATGCAAGTAATTTATGTCACTTCAACGGAGAAAGTTGTGAGACTGACAATTTTGATCGAATCTTCTTCAGTATATTCATATCAAATGTTCTTCCCCGGATTACTTGACCAAAATCGCTAAAGCCGATAACTGCACGGGATGGATGCACACTTCTTATCAATAGTTTTTTTATAAGTTGCATTGTGAGATGAAATTACCTTATAACTTTTGAAATTACGGTACACAAGTTGTATATTATTTCAAAGGAAGTATATTCCAATAATTCATGAGACAGGTAATTAAAAATTTTATCATGTTAACTGAAACATGTTTTAACTTATAACTCATGTTTTGTAAACTAATATTTTCCCAAGAGTGAATATTTGTAATTTGTATTTAAGAAAATTACTTTTGTTTTCAAATATGGAAGTAGTATTTATGGTACTTACTAGAGCTGGAGATGTATTTAAAAGTTCCTCTAGTTCAGCTTCTGTTACTTGTCGTACACGAAGTGGTGAAACGGTAGAAAGTGAAACTGGAGGAGTTTCAGAAACTTCACCTCCTTCGTCTTCTGACACTCCCTCAAATATCTGTATGTAAAAATGATATTTTGGTAATCTTCTTGATGTTAGGAATTTTTAAATGCTAACATTGCATAGTAATATTTTGATATAAAAAAATATTGACTTACCGATGGATCCAAGGAAGGTCTATTCTCGACACAATGTCTTATGAATTCTTGACCCCGAACAAGAGCAACAAATCCGCATCTTGGAAACCATTTTGCATGTTCAGTCCATGCATCATCTGTTACTTCCCAATTACGCAGGCCACCATCACAATGAAAACATCTGACTTGATCACCAGAACCTTTTTAATAATATTAACACATATTATAAAATTACATGGTTAGTAAATTAGGTATAAGTCTTATTTAATTCCAAATAAAAGTAACTTTTAGCTTTCTTACCAACATAATAAAAGCCCGCTTGCGCCAACATTTCTGGTGTTTGTCTGAGATTTTCTGGCCATCCTTGAAACGTTCGTAACCTTCCTTCAAATGTAGCATGTTTTGGTTGACGTGGTGCAGTATGTGCTTGTATGCCCAGTTCTTTAAAATTGGAAGTAGCGCCGGGCGACAATTTTACATTGCCCAGCTCCACTTTTTCTGCAGACACCACTAAAATATAATATTTGGACATTGTAAGTGTCTGACTCGATTAACATTATAATTATATTGCAGAAAGGCATTTTTATGTCTACAAATTGAATTTATAATTCTTGTATGTTTCACTATATTATGTAACAAAAACTTGTTGATAAAAACACATAAATACATTCAACTTTTTAGTAATCTAAACTTATAATATCATTTAAACATTACCTGAACCCATTCAAAACGTACACTAGCAAATAAAGTTGAATTTTGACATTGCCAGAACAGTTAAAATTAGCAATGCCATTACCACATGATGCAAACTATTATATGTATACAATACATAGTTCAAGTTTGTCAGAGGTATATATTCAATACTTATCATATATAACTCACTACTTACATATGAAGAATCAGTACAAATAGTTATAGTTAATTAGCTTAATCATGAAACAGTTCAATGACTTTCATATTTACCTTCATTGTCATCCTGATGCATATAAAAGTCACAAGTGGGAAAACTAATTCTGTGTACTCTATCAGGATCATCACCAGCTTCCCATTTCCTTATGACTCCTCGACAAAATGCACATTCAACCTAGAAAGGAATTTAATTGCCATTCCTCAAAAACTACTGTTGTGTTATGTTAGAAGTATAAAAGATACACTAATAAAAGTATAGCTTACCACATCAGCTTGCTGCAAATAATAGAATCCTGACTTAGCAAGTCTTTCGGGTGATATAATTGAAGGAATTGGCCAGTTAGTAAAAGATTGTAATCGTTGTGCTTCAGTTCGATATTCAACTTGAGGATTTTCACTTTGAACTAAAGATGATATAGGTCTTTGATTTTCAGTATCTGGTTGTAACGATGCAGGAGACAATGGTGGTATTGATGATGAACCATGAGGAGATCCAACCAATGGCACATTACAAGTATTTAAAGGATTTTGAACAAATGGACAATTGGGTTGAAGTTGTCGATGTCTTGCCATAACTTGATCTCCATAATTCCATTCTGAAATTTTTGCTCCGCACAAAAAACACTGCACTTCCAATAATGATCCTGTATAATAAAATCCTGCTTTTGCTATTCGAGCAGGATCAACTGCTGCGTTAACTGGCCAGTCAGAAAAAGTTCTTAATCTATTTTCTTCAACATTCATGATGAAAGTTCACTTGAAACAATGAGATTTAAATTTATAAGTAAAATATAAGAACAAGTAGTTGCATATACGAGGTTTATGAACATCATCTAGTTACATCAAAATATAAAATCGTTTCAATGATTATCTTGACAATGTTAATGAATTTCAAATTTCACAATTTGTTTATATCATTCTCAATTTCTTATTATATTTGAGAGTACTACGCACAAAAATTATTTAGGTTATCTCTTTTGATAATTCTTGGAGTTCATTTCGTTACTGGATATTATACCATGATGTTCAACATTAGGTATCACATATAACGACATAATGCCATTAAAAACTGAATGACGATACTTTGTTTATGTCTTCTTAGAACGGAAAGTAAAAACAGTCGGCGCAACCAGAAACTGAAGTTCGCGCAAGTCATGTAATTTCAGGAATGCGATGCCAAATAAAGATTATGCAAAAACTATCAATTCAAATTGAACTCCATTGAAACATGGTTGATTAAAAACTTTCATCACAATATTATTTTACTACAATTTCACACTATAGCACGTATATTACTAAACCTACTTTATTTGATTAAGCTTTGACACATTTAAATTGCATACTTATAATTGATCCGCCAGTAGGTTTAGGTACCAGAAAGTATACACTCAGAGATAAGCCACAAGTGATTTTTCTCGGTAATCTTTTTATATATATTTACGGCATATTATCTGTTTTTCGGTGAAATTATGCAAAAAAGATAATATAAATATAAAAATAAAGTAAATCTAATATATTACTCAAGTCAGTATCGGATAATTGTTTATTTCTTCGATGGATATGATATACAAACTCAAATGTCATATTTTTAATTGTTAATTATGACACCTTTAAAAATATACAAAAAATTACTTTTACAAGACTTGTCTTCATACATTTCAAAAAAATCAAATGATTACGTTACAGTTACAAACATGAGTAACATTCTCTTTAGAGGAAACAGTAAATCAAGCTTGACTAGCTCAAAACTGCAAATCGATGAGGTAAAGTTAAAGGGATGAAAAGTAGACGAGATCAATGATCCAGGAGGTTAGTCCTTTCGTAATAAGTAATCGTTACCATTGCTCATGATTTTGAAACAGCCCTTTTAGTCTTTCCAAAAACTGATTAACGATAGATTAGGGGTAGCAGTTTTTGAAAGCGCTACAATCTGGTAGATCGAATCTCCATCGGCGTCAGTGCTCAGGGATGCTGCGCGCGTTGCATGTCTTCTTTGCGTCCTGCGCCCACAGCCATTCGTTTAACGGTAGCAAGTTGGTGGAGGTGCGGTCGGTCTGTCAGTGGGCCACGAACGCCGTCGGCTCGAGATTTGTCAGTCTTCGTCGACTCGGTGCGTCGTCGGGTTGTCAGGTCAGGGCAGTGCGAGCGAGGGCAACGTGCCATAAGCATGGAGCTCCACGATACCTCAGAAATACCAAGCGTGGTCGAGTTGAACGTAGGTGGTGTTTTCTACACGACAGCCCTGACGACCCTAACGAAGGAGAGCGATTCTCAGCTGGCTGCAATATTCAATGGGAAATTGCACGTAGAGAAAGACGCTAAGGGAAAGTATTTCCTGGATCGGGATGGGGTACTCTTCCGTTACATCCTGGACTTTCTACGAAATCAAGTATTGGTTTTACCGGAAGGATTCAGAGAGCGCGAGAGACTTCGCCATGAAGCGCACTACTATGGTCTTCCAGGATTAGAAAAAGCCATCTCCGAGCACAGCGATTCTCCAACATCGGGAAAACGTTCCGCAGGATATATTACAGTTGGTTATCGAGGAAGCTTTGCTTTTGGACGCGACGGTCTTGCGGATGTCAAGTTCCGTAAACTCTCAAGGATTCTTGTTTGCGGAAGGGTCGCCCTCTGCAGAGACGTCTTCGGAGAGACGCTTAACGAAAGTCGCGATCCCGATCATGGAATGTCTGACCGATACACATCAAGGTTCTTCTTGAAGCATGGATTCATCGAGCAGGCTTTTGATATGCTACAGGAACAGGGATTCAAACTGGCTGGAAGTTGCGGTTCAGGAACTGCTGGCGGTAACGCTGAACAGCTAAAGCCTGGTGTTGATTCCGAGGAAAATCGTTGGAATCATTATAATGAATTTGTTTTCGTACGCGAGTAGATCCTTCGAGATTTTATGACAATCAGCGAGTCCTGTGTCGATTGCTGATACTATTTATAGAAAAGTCAGTACTCTCAATGTCCGTTAACGCTTTTCACGGATCACTGAAATACTTGATATCAATTGAAAAGGATTTTGCTCTACAAGAAAACAGTGACACTCGTTTCTGTTGATATTCTCGTTTAACCCTGCCACATTATTGTGACAGATGATCACAAGCAGACATACACCAGACAGAAAGACAGATCTAAAAGAATTAAAATGAAGAAAGCAAATTGAAAATCATCAATGGCCTCAGATTTCAAAAAGGGTTATTGATGTTGAATGACACATCTTGCCAGGTGTTTAGAATGATCCTGAACTCCAAGACATAACGGACCGAAAAATTTCTCAAGACAAAGAAGAATCTCGTTGAACTTTTGGATAAAGGTATGATCTATAACTTTGAATGATTCTTATACCCAATGGATTAAGACATTTGAATCAGTTTGCAAATGGGAGGCTGAGATAAATTTAAGTCAGATTATTGACGAGGGAAGACAATTTTTTCCAGCGACGAAGACGGACGTGAAACTAATAGACGAAACGTCTCGCAGTGTGTCTATGTACGTATCAAGGTACGGACAGCAAGATAATCAAAGTCACTGTTACGCCTTTCGTCGATTCACGGCGGAAGATTTGCGTACAGAAAATAGTAGATAAAACGTTAGATAAATAATCGCGCGTTCCACGGTTCTCATAGGATTATACGTGCGATACGTTAAACACAAAGAATAAAGATACGTGTATCCCTGCATAGCAAGGAAGTATAGGCCATGAATATTTACTGAGAGTTGATCATGTGCCGAATGTCTCGATACTATTTTAAGTAAATTCGATTAATATCAACATAATAAAAATTAACTTACCGAAAGCGAGTCAACGTAAAATCTTATTCAAATTCGCTGGCGAAGTATATAACATGCATAATTGTTTTCGAATGTACATCAGTGCTGTAAAAGTATAGTGTGCGAGGTATTTTGACTGAACTAATCATCAGAAATAATTAGTCATCGATCACTGACAGAAAATATTCGATTTAAGTGACACAAATTCGTTAAATCTTATAAGAATTAATTGCGTTATTTATTTTCAAACTTAACGTACTTCTCGTCAAACTAGTCATTCACTGAGTCCTGTCAGTTTTACTCCCGTCATTTTTAATTCACAGGTAACACCATTCTTTCGCGCTATATATATTTAATGAAGTATGATATTTAAACAGTTATGTCGATGATCCAAAGAATGCTTGTTGGTTAGAAAAGTGATGTTTGATTTTATGTATAAGACAAGAATATCGTAACTCTCTTGAATAATCTTTCTTGTACATTCCTAACCTTATTTATCCTGCTGACCTGAATACTTGAAAATCTTCATACTTGCTGGAACATCTGGAACGTCGATATCCTCAAAAAGTTTGATGCAAAACTTCAGAGATCTGAATACCGTTTTATGCCATTTTTACAACTGTCGGTTTCGTATTTCCATCGTATATGTTAAAATTGAACTATCGTTCTTTTGTAACGACCAGAGGTTGTGACAGATGGAAAAGGGCTATCTCGTTGTTTTATTGTAAGATTATATTCCACTGTTTCTGGTTTACATTATAAACTATATACAGAGTCATTCGGTAGAAACGCACCACCTGAACATGGGTTTCCCATAAGACAAATGGGCGCGCTGACTTCAGGTGGTGCGCTTCTACTGAATAACTCTATATACTTTTTGCCTTAGTCCAATTTAAAATCGTTTAGGCTATAACGTCACGGTAAGTTATCGTTGTTTCTACATCGAAGAGCAAGGGAGAGATTTGACCTTCGTCTTTCAACCTTTAGTCCCGGCGAACCCCAAAAACCGACCGTTACATCATCGGAGATACGTATCGTTCGTTCAAGTTCCAGTTCAGTTAATAAGACGCTCCTCCGGGCTTCTCCTTTCTGTTTTCACCCAAAACTTTACCCTTCAAGGGAGTGGACGATATGGAAGATTTATGGAAAGTGAAATAAGCGACATCTGTAGCCTCGATTCGTAAGGTAGCCCGCGCGTTACTTGTTCGCGAAAGGTATATATGGTGCATTCTTAATGAGAAATCCACTCTTGAGAAACATACTTATAGGAAGATCGCGGTGAAAAATTTAACTGTGTAAAACCGCATGTAGGATTTTTGTATTATATATATAAATATATATATTTACCACGTAGAACAAATCCATATGGATTTTCGGATGTGAAATATAAAAATAGATTTATTCTGTGGATTATTGTTACTGGACTTTACACTTTTTTTTTTTGTTAAATTGGCTTTGGCATGAGCGGCGTCACGATTTTGGCGATTAAAAATGATGAATTTTTATCTGACAAAAGTTTCGAGGAATTTTGGTAAAACTTTGGTGAATACGTGATATCACGTGGTAGATTTGGAACGACGTTTTTAACAAAAATATCGGAATATTTTCTGGGTCAAATTCGTGGTGGCTGTGTACGAGATGGCGGCGGAGTAAAGCGGACTAGAGAGGCTTTTTTGCAAAAGTTATAAGTTTCGTGCCGTTCAATATTTATATTACGTATAAAGAGAAAAGGATAATTATGGAAGAGGCAAGGTATCCGCTGTATATGCGCTTACAAGTCGAATGTTACTGTTAATGCTATTCGTATAGTAATTTTGTTGGAATAGCAGTCGTAAGACCTGGGCGATAATTGACTTTTAATTGCAGAAATTCACAGGATCGTTTAATTAACATATGGCCATTCCGAATTCAAGTAATTCACATTAGTGAATTGTGACGAAGTAAACAAAAACGAGTAAAGAGATTGTTGAAAATTAAAGAAAAAAATTATATTAACAAAATTTCAATTATTTCGCCACTATTGTTCACTACCGATTATTTCTTTCGTAAATTCTCATTGACGATTGAACGTAAAATTTATTTCGAATTAAATTAAATAAGTTTCGAAATTTGCCAAAATTCGCATTTCGTGGCCTCGAGTAACGTCTAGTTTCTCACGCTGAATATCTGCCACTTAGTAGTATCAACCCTTAAAAAAAAAAATTCGAAACTTATACATTACCCTCGTCAAGAACACATTGCCACAATCTCGATTACTATAGTTCTTGAATGAGTAAAACCTTGCGTGACTTTTACGCGTTATCTTACATTACCGAGTTTAAATGATAAGGAAACGGAAGGGAAGTGATAACTGATAACGATTAAGCATGCGTCTTCTAAGAACGTTAAACAAAGCCAGAACGACATTTGCGCGTTAAATGATAATTTTTCGAGATTCATAACAAGATTCATTTATTTTGCGAAACTCTTCTTTAATAATAATAATAATAATAATCGTCAAAATAGTGAAATTGAAAATTGATACGAATGTTATTAGTCTATTGTCATTAGAACGACACTAATCGATGTAATAAGTCGTTTCGATGGTAATAATAATGATAAATGATCTAGATATTAGTTTATATAGAATTAATTAAAAAAATTTCGTTCGCTCGATGTGTACTTAATTACTAATAATGCGCGGTGAAGAATGAAACTTACGACCAAAAATATAATTAGTGAGTAAATTAACTAATTAACACTAAAATAGTGTGACGTCTGTAATTTAGAGTACTTTCGACCACCCGTAATTATCATTACGAATTCATTAATTCAGCATGATTTACGATAATAAACAGTCAAGGAGTCAAGGATTTGTATTTACTTTGTAGATACGACTTTTTTCCATACCGAATTTGGAAACGTGCGTCCCTCGATCACACGTAGATTCTTCCATTATATATCCGATTAGAAATTCGAGTGAATTAAATGTATAGCAGTAGAGTCTAGTTACAATGTAAGATATTATTATACCATTATTGTATATGTATATAAGAGAGAGAAAGGGAAATAAAGAATATGACAGAAAATAATATTTTTCTACCCAGCTCGGCACTACCCAGTTAGTAATCCTGAATCATGGTCATGTCTAGGGGATGTCTATATTTGTTGCCAGAGGGTTATGCTGTTTTACCCTTGTCACTACTCAGTTAGTAATCTTGGAATATGGTCACGCGTAGGATATGTTTTTTGACACGTTTTTGGCATGTCCATAAGATGTCGATTATATGTCCACAGAGAGTCATGATGTTTTTTTACCATTGGCACTACCCAGTTAGTAATCCTGAATTAACGTCATGTCTAGGGTATGTCTATATTTGTTGCCAGAGGGTCATGATGTTTTACCCTTGTCACTACCCAGTTAGTAATCTTGGAACATGGTCACGCGTAGGATATGTTTTCTGACACGTTTCTTACATGTCTATAAGATCTCTATTAGATGTCCACAGAGAGTGATGATGTTTTTTTACCATTGGCACTACCCAGTTAGTACTCTCGGGACATCTGTATTGGACCTGGATAAAATTAATTAAATAATTATAAATTAAATTCAACAATATAATTCATCATAAAGTGTAACACTCGAAAATAAAATGACTTTTCTAATCGTTGTTACTAATTTATAGGAAAATATATATTTCACAGGTTAATTCCAGACTTGAGCTTTTTGTGCTGTAACGAATCAGTTGTGTGGCACGTCGATAGTCACGATAATTTACGGATCATTTGTCCGTATAAAGATCAGCGCAAAAACTTTTGATCTTCTATGCGAAACGTTAAGACGATGATCCTATTAAGGACGATAAGGTTAAGAACACTGTGCAGTTATCTTTAAGCCAGGAATAAAATTTTCATGGAAAATTAGCCTACAAAAAGAGACACAAATCCGGGGGCTTTGTGCATAAGCAATATGTATCTTCGAAAATGATTTAATGGGTAAGTAGGTAATGTAGTATAATAAGGGTTCAATATTTTATTTGAAAAACACGCTGTTTTTGACAAAAACATTATATGGACGCTTTGGTTACGTCACAGTTGCCAAGACTGACCTATAAACTTCAAGCTCCAGGTTGGTTTCGATATTCTTTAAAAAATTGTCATGGCCGCCGTCCGTTTTTCTTCCAATCCTGATGCTATCATAATGTAATAAAATACACGTGCGTAGACGATAATTGCTTTTGGATAAGACCTATCATCGCTAGAGAATCACAGGTTATGCGAACTCATGAAATATGAAGGTAAGAGGGGTTCGCTTACTTGGCAGTTCTCTTTGCCTTCGTGTTATAAACCAAAACCAACCAGTTTTCCCCAACTGGCATATATATCTACTTCATTTCTCTCCTATTCAGCCAGTAAATTATATTAACGGTGAGATGTAGTGTACATATAGAAGCGTTCAAACGTTCAATCCTTGGACGTCACGTATAGCCATAAATAATTAAGGCAGTATTGTATATTTATATAGTCCGTGAATATAACCTATAAAATGTCACTGAGTCATACCTTTTTTAATATCATGTAGCAGTAACTGTTAAAGTTGTACAATTTGTGTCAGATTGCGTTCCGTGGTCTTCTCAATCTTCTGTAAATGGCCATTCTAGGACACGTACGTCTCCGTGGACTATCCCGTGGGAATAGCTATTTGACACGGGTATCCGTTGCTGAATACTTGAGAAATTCTGGCCCAATTCTTGATGCGTGCTTCATCGAGCAGAGGAGAATTTGTGTTTTCTTGGCAGCCCTTGGGATATCAAAGGCTCACTGCGAAAGCAGTTTGAAGATCTGAGCAGCAGGGTGAGCTCTATTCTGTTGAAGTTGACGTTGGTTGCGTAAAGGGCGGAGAGAGGGGGAGTCACAAAGCAGGAAACAGGAAGCAGCATCAAGTGCGATCAAGTGGACACTTTGCTATTTTGCCAAAACATACGTATCTACGTACGTTTTCATTAGTGTTGTATGTATATGGGTGTATATATATACTGGTATATAAATGGCGTAGGGGAAAGGGAAAGAGGTACTCAAATGAATGGATGAAATATAAAAGAGACGAAGTGGAGACAACTTAAAGGCAGCAGTCCGGAAAAGCAACAGTTAGGCGCTTTTCTGTCTCGACTATTCTTCACTCGCTGCTGGACGTCCTGCTTTCTCATTCTGGGATAGATACATTTCTTGTAATTTAATGCCGGTTTAGTTAGTACTTTTCCTCGTTCTATAAATTCATTTATTTATTTAAGAGTCACTGCAAAACTCCAGGGAATTCATGGCTAGTTTGTCACGTTGAGAAAGATCGACGAGGTCACGGAGTTCATTTTATAAGACATTTCTTTATCCTTGTTGCGGATGTCTGTAGTTGCTATGTATTTTGAAAGTATTAGTTCTTAGGTGTTCAATTAGAATTTATTCTAAAGCCGAATAGCGGGAGTATTCTGAAATATTTTATATTCGACAAATTCAAATGTCAAATTTTCAGGTTTATGAAACGTCTCCGGAAAGGATATTGTGTACTTTTATGAAAATATAAAATTTGATATTAATAAATGTTAGTTGAATGGAGTAGTACACATGTATTTCGTGTTACTTGAAAATTGATATAAACTCAATATATACGTTTAAATTTCTCGGATTTTCATATTAATTATAACGAAGAGAATAAGCTTCTCTTAATGAACTAGCAACGTTTGGATAATTATTCGACCAAGATTACTTGCACTATCTAGTTTTTATTAATAAATATCCATTTCAATTTACAAGGAAATTGCATGTTCATAACTGGTGGGAGAAGTTAATTTAAATTTTATAGCGCCCTCTAAATTAATCCTTCGTCACAACGCTTCTCCGCCAATCGTCTGCGATCTCAGCGCCGTTACGTTCTTGTTCCGCACTTTCGTTCAGTTTCAATGCAAATGCAGTGCGCGAGTTTTCTTGTTCTATATTTACACGGTCGCCGAATGAAAAAATACCATGTGCACGGCTTGCCAGTGATTCACTATTACTCGTTACTCAAGATATAAGAATCAGTAGCGTGAAAGAAATTCAAGTATGTCAATTTAACCTATTCTATAACCTGTAACCTAAATTAATGGAACGTGTAGATTCCATCAATTCACGATGTTTAAAAGTTTTATCTAGTTGTGACGGTTGGTTATACATATGTACGCCAAACTCTTGGAGCTGTGCCAGTCGCAATAAATCTCCATAAATACGTCCCCTTTCCTTACGTTGATACAATCAAAATATTTATTTCGAGGACAAATAAACCCGGAAGCTTATCTTCCTCCGAAGCAAACGGTCGTCCAATAGCTTCGAACTTTTACACAATGAATTCATTAGATCGGTCAATTTATTGCTACTATTTTCCTATACGAAGGAATAGAGTTTATGACGTTTATTTCGAGATCTAGTTTTATGACTCACGTTTTGACGCAATGGCGTCAATAATGAACAATGATTTATCAATCATAGTGAATGTAGCTATAATTTTTATTTGAATTTTCTATTTTTCTATTTACAATTATTGCTTTAACTATTTCGTATATTGAAGTTTGAATAATATTCGAGAGAAACTTCCTATCTTGATTTAATCTACGAGTTCAACGCCACAGCAAAGTTTTGTTTGACTATTTAAATATAATGTATTTAACACTCCAACGTTACTGAGTTTTCCATCGTCCGGTTAATATCTTGTTACTCAGTTGCATTCAAAGTATCGTTTGCTAGTATAAATTAAATAAAAGTATTTTATCACGAATTTCATATCCATAAAATATTCTTTTTATCTATATATTTGTTTCCTATCATTCGTGAATATCCTGCGTGTTTAACAGACAGTGCTATACTTTGTATCTCCACCTAAATTTATTGTCGAAGTCCGATTTTTAATCCCCCCCCCCCCC